GTAGAATAGGGTCTTGCGGGGGGGGGGGGGGGGGTCTTATCATAATATAAATTCTATAGGGACCACAAGGGCAAACCATGCTCTCTGGACCAGTGCAAGCTGCCCGATGGTTGCCAGACCGCTGCTCTCGCCCAGCAAGCCTGAGCTCAAGCCAGCTGCGCCATCTAGAAGCGACAGGGTATCCTAAACCCTAAACCTTAAACCCTGAACCCCAAGCCCTAAATCCTAAACCCTAAACCTTAAACCCTAAACCCTCTGGCAGACCAACCACTGCCGGCTTCAGTAGAGTTTATGAGGTCGAGTCGGCAACCTGCGACACGCAGAGGAAGAACGCGCAAAAGCTTTCGACCAGCGTACCAGGGTACGGAGTAAAGTTGTCCAGTACCTAGGGGTTTTAAAGGTTAACCTTTGGGATTATAAGGGGAATATATTAACCCAAAAAGGTTAAAGGTTACCTACTCTACTACTAAGGTAATTACATAAGAGGGCCCAACTGCCCTAAACCCTGTGGCAACACGCTTGCAGGGACCCTCGCCTGGAAAAGGCATCACTGAGCTCCGGTCAAGTTTTGTCCCTCAACCCCATAAAACTTTCGAGGAGATTCGGGGAGTTCAGCGGAGTTTAAGGGGTTCAGGCCAGCCCCCCACCCACCAGGGGCTCTGAGGTTTAGGACCCCTCCACTCGCTCCCTTGGACCCCTAAGGCGGTACTCTTGGGTTTGGGGTTTAGGGCTTAGGGTTTAGGATTTAGGGTTTGGGAACCCCTTTTAAAGGGCATACAAGGGCCATGTTCGAAGTGCATTCAGGGAACCTCTTAGGGACAGATCCTTAGGGGTCCGAGTATGCTTCCCTTGACTGCACGCCCAAAGAGCCCAGTACCCCTTAACTAAGCAATATACCCCTTAAATCAGATTCAGGGCCCCTATATAGTTTAGGGCATATTCCTTGTTTAAGGGGCATTGGGCTCTCTGGGTGGCTCCTAGACCAGCCGAGCGGCAGGAAATACTCCTGGGGATGGAGAGCCTGGGCTGTTCACCGGGATTGCCACCAAAGATTGCGCCTGTGACAACAGAACTCAGAAAGGATTCTCAAAGTACATCCCAGGAGCTTTCCATCGTCCTCCTCCTCCTCTCCAGCTCCTGGACACAAGTAGACGCTGGCCACTTTGGGGTTTGGCATCTTTTTTGCTTGGGGAAGGATGGTTGGACATGGGCTTTGGCTGCCACCAGCCCGCCTGCCGCAGCAGCGCGTGCCGGTGAGAGAACAAAAAATTCAAGTAGGGGAAGCCTCTTGCTAAACTGAGGGGCGAATGCTGGGGATGTGCAGGCCTGTGTGCAAGACAAGCCTGCACGGATGTTGCTGCACGCTTTCTCTGGCATCTACTGCTAGCGGCTTCGGGCTTCAGCTGCCAAAGCGACACCCCAACACGACGCGCTCAACCGAAAGAACCTTCAGCTTCAACATCCCAAACCCTAGGGTTTAGGGCTTTGGGTGTTTTTTGGCACCCGCGTAGCTGGACGAACTGCTCAGCAGGTCTCTGTCTGTGCTCCCTCTCAAATCGCCTCACAGCCCCCTGTTTTGGGTTTATGGTTTATGGTTTATGGTTTATGGTTTATGGTTTATGGTTTATGGTTTATGGTTTATGGTTTATGGTTTTTGGTTTTTGGTTTGTGGTTTGTGGTTTGTGGTTTGTGGTTTGTGGTTTGTGGTTTAAGGTTCTGTCGGACAGCTTCACAACCTGGACAGCCAAGCCACCGAAAACAGTCGCCAGCCTTATCTCAAAATCACACACGCCAAAGCCTTTCCTTCAAAACCCTTACATTCGACTGAGCACCTTAAGTGAAGCCACCAAAACCCAAACCAAAAGAAACATCTAAATGTCCCCCCCCCTCCACCCCGGACCCACAGAACCAAACAACAAAAGTTGCAGAAAAGGAGGTCCGCCGTGGCTCAGCGTGCTCTGCTCGCCCGCCAGATCAATGCCCAGAAGCCTTGTGTCGTAAGCCGGATTCAGGGGGGGAGAGGCTTGACTGGTTCAGGTTCTTCGCCCCCTTAAACTAACAGTTCCTTTCTAGGGATTCTCGTACCCGCTATGATAATCCCGATTAGGGACTGTTAGTATAAGAGGGAACATCCCAAGGCTTAGGGTCCAGGGACTTCTCTTGTTGGGTTTAGTGGGCTTGGGGCTTGGGTTGGAGTTGACATCCGGGTGTCAAGGGGGCCCGGTTGAGGAGCCGCCGCAATCTGCGGGGGACGCGAAGGATGAAGAACATCAGACACCACCGCTGCGCACATGCTTCCTCCAAAATGTTGAGAGCCTGAGGGTGCTTGCGAGATGAAGCGGGGTCAGCACGCCAAATCCCTCGACTCTCTTGCGCACCAGCCGCCAGCGGGCAAAGTCCACGGTGTCGAGGGTCAGCACGACGAGTGGCCGCAACCTGAAGCACTGGCCCAACCAGAACATGGTGGCATGTGGACTACTCACTGACCCTTCATCACCACAAAGCCGAACAAAACCCCCTAAACCCTAAGAGCCCAATATTGCTCAATTAAGGAATATTCCTTAAATCATATTAAGGATCCCTATATGATTTCAGGAATATTCCTTAATTAAGCTGTATTGGGCTCTTTGGGCAAACCCTAAACCCTTTAAGCCCTAAACCCCCCTAACACCGTCTCAAGGCGAGCGTCGGTCGATGGAGCTCCACTGGCCGAACGTGGCGAAGCAAAGACGCGGCCTGGCCGAGGCGTTCGGGTTTGGGTTGCAGGGTGCGTTTAGGGTTCAGGGTTTAGGGTTTAGGGTTTAGGGTTTAGGGTTCAGGGTTCAGGGTTTAGGGTTCAGGATGGTTTAGGGAGATGCCTTGGAGATTTAGTGACTACAGGGGCCCTTTAGGGGCTTCTTTTCCAGAAGGCTCTGGTTTGAATGGGTTGGGGGTGGCAAAGGGACTTTGGCCGCTTCTCTGACGCCTGCTGCTCACAGTCGAGCCAGAGCAGGTCCTCTTTCCTCCCAGCAAATCGAAGCAAACCCTAAACCTAAACCCTGCAAATGGAAGCACGGCTCATGGATGTTCACGGTTTTGGGGTTGGTTCACAGCCGACCACTACCGCCGAAGGCTGCGAATGGGGTTTGAGGCTTTCGGGAGCAGGCTTCCATCTTTAGGAGGGCGCCCCCCCAAGCTGGGGGCCGCAATTTCTAAGCCCCACCCTAAACCCTTTTTGCAGGACTTGTGCAAACGCACCCTAAACCCTAAACCCTAAACCCTAAACCCCGAACTTAAACCCTAAACCTCAACCCTGAACCCTTAACTCTGAACCCTAAGAGGCACTGTCCTGCCGGCCATCTTCGACCTTAGGTAAGGGCATACCCTCGACTCAGCTCACGCCACTGCCGGAGTTTCGGGGTTTAGGGTTTAGGGTGAAGGGTTTAGGGTCTTGGGTCTGGGGGGGGGCTGCAGGGCTTATGGGCTCCTGTGGGCCTTTAAAAACTGCAGCTCCAGAAGGTAACATGCAGCATCTGCCCTTCAAGCCCCAAGGTTCAACCTTGCGCCCTCAACCGCAAACAAAGCCCAAGCCCTAAACCCTCCAAAGCTTTCGGGGGGGGGGGGGGGGGGGCCTGCGCGTTGCTTTTTCATACCCTGAAAGCTCCGAGGATTGCTTCAGGCTTCACGTTTTTTCGGTTTGGGCTTGGGGCTTAGGGGTTGAAGGCGCCGAGGAGCATCGCCATTCCTGCGGACCTGACCAGCAATTTCACTTAACAGACTCTTGGAAGGGGCTCCCAGGAGCAGGATTTAGGGTTTAGGGTATAGTGGAGAGTATATCTGCCAGGGTCCTTGTAGTCCCATCATATTCCTACTCTCTTCGCTGGGTTGATGTAAGGTCAAGGTGCCTCCACCCGTTCTATCCGAATGATGAGAGCATCTGTTTGCAAGGAAGGGATGAAAGGCCTTGGCACACAATGGGTCCCATGATGCCATCCTCGAGCCGGGGCAAAACCCTCTCGCCGCGGTTTTACAGCCCGCACCCCCTTCAACCAGTAGAACATGCTATACGGCTACACAGCAAGATCTACAGTTCAATAACCTTAGGGCAGCGAGGGGGTTCTCATCTTAAGGGTGAGGGAAGCAAAGGGCTCAGGGTGCTGTGACCCAGCTTACTGTTGGTTAGTAGGGAAATGGGGGAATGAGGTACCCTATATAATCCCTTAAAGGGTATATATATATATATATATATAACGGGTACCTCATTCCCTCATTCCCTGCTAACCATCAGTAAGCAAGGACTGCCAGGGCCGAGCCTCTGCTGGCGGAGAGGCGCGTTCCGGCTGCGGAAGGCTTTGGATGCTGGGAACCGCAAGGCTTGGACCGATGCGGAGAGGTTTGTCAACCCTAAACCCTAAACCCTAAACCCTAAACCCTAGACCCTAGACCCTAAAACCTTTTTTGCAACTGGGCTTGAGGACCAGCCAGATTCATCTCCAAGCATCAGCATCTCACCCCTAAAACCTGAACCCTAAATCCTAAACCCTAACCCTGATTCTCCGACACTTCGGATCAGCTTCCAAACGCAGTCCAAACTTTAACAAGGATCCGAGGGATTGTGCAGGGAAGACGGTTGCAAGGGGGGGAGGGGGTCCTCTGTGTGAGGGACCCTTCCGGGACTCCTTTGTTGTACGAGAACCACGCTGTGCATGTAAATGTATCTGTACGGGTTTAGGGGTTTAGGGGTTAGGGGTTTGGGGTTTAGGGGTTTAGGGGTTTAGGGGTTTAGGGGTTTAGGGGTTTAGGGGTTTAGGGGTTTAGGGGTTTAGGGGTTTAGGGGTTTAGGGGTTTAGGGGTCTAGGGGTTTCGGGGTTTAGGGGTTTTAGGGGTTTAGGGGTCTAGGGGTTTAGGGGTTTAGGGGTTTAGGGCATGAGAGCACCCATTGCACACGTTGATGTATCCGTTGGGGGCAAGGGAGGGGGCAGGGCGCAGATTTAGAACAACCCCCGTTTGTGCTCAGGGTCCTGTGCCAGTTCTTGTCCTCGCTCCACCTCGCAGACCGGAGAACGAAAGTAGAATTATACCCCTCCACCCAGGTTTAGGGTTTAGGGTTTAAGGGAAAGGGATGCAATGACCCCTTTTCTAGCTTAACCCCAGAAAGCCTCACATCTCGCCTGTGCATAGTTTGCCCTAAACCCTAAACCTCAAACCCAAAACCCAACCCTAAACCCTTTGCTAGAGCATGTCTTGCGCACTTCTTTCTGTCGTTAACACCCCTTCCATGCCTGAAACCACCTAGACCAAGGCCCATGTGACTTTTACAACACTCAAAATTTATATATGTGCATATGTATACATATACATATATATATATATATATCTATATATCCTTTGAGAAATGAGATGTACAATTAAGTTCATCGCCACGTTCTCTAAACGGTAGTTCTTTATCTGAGCTTCTCGAAACAAGCCCTGAATCTGAGCCCTGGGTCTGCGAGGTTTCGGCTCTTGAGGTTCTGATGCCAAGGGCTTCGGGGTGTTCAGGGACGTTTGATCGCTTAGGAATGCTGCCGCTTTCGCACTTGCACGCTACAAGTACCGACTTGCCTGAATACCCAGCATCTGCAAGCACAGACAAAGGACAAGCAGTTCTAACTGGCAAAATCACACAGCACGCCGGAATACAAACGCCCTTTTAGGCACGCTCTACTGTCCACACAAGCAGATCAATCCCTTTTAAATTGGGTTTGGGGCTTAGGGTTTAGAGTTTAGGATTTAGGATTTAGGGTTTCGGGTTTCGGGTTTATTTAGGGTTTAACCCAAAATCCCAGATCACAAGCCCATTCGGCACCTCATCCTCCCACCGCTCCCAACGTTCTTGGTCCCGTTTCCGGTCTGCTTCTGCAGGCGGGCTAGCGATGAACTTGGGCTGATTTGGGGGTTTCCGAAATTAGGGTACCTTACTGGGGTCCTCATTATAAAGGAATCCTACTATTTGGGGGGGTCTATGTTAAAGCCCCATTTGGTGGCGTGCTCGTGAAGACATGCAGGGTCGGTGTCTATACGCCCTGCGATCGGGGGACGCGCTTGACAGTCTTGTTAAAGGTGCCTCGTGAACATGTTGACGTTGTGCCAGCTTTCTTTCCCCAAACACCCCTCAACAAGTGTGTGCCTGGGCGGTGTGGTTGGGCCTGGGGCCTAGGTTTCTGCGAGCTGACCTTTTGTGTAGAGCCCACCCTGAGCAGTGACCAGACTGACACGTACAGCGGCGCAAAGCCGGATGCCTTTTGGATGGCTTTGTTGGGGTTTAGGGTTTGGGGGTTTACTCGCTCACGCTTGGGTGGCGTTCAGGCTCACTCTATGCGTCAGAGCTCTGCCAGCTTAAGGTTTAGGACTCTACACGGCCTGCTTCTTGAAGCCCTCCCTGTCGGACGGCTTTCCGCAACAGCCTCAACAGGCGAGACTGAGAGGTTTGCGGGAACCTGACGCCTTTCCATTAGGGTTCAGGGCTAGACTCTCATGTCTGCGACAAGCTAGGCGAGGTCAGAAGCCTCCTGACCCAACCCTCCGAGACTACCCGAAACTCTCTCACCTCTCTCCCTTCATGTGCTTTGGGCTTTGGGGGGCCAAAGGCGAAGATCCTGTAAACCCGTAAGCCAGCCATGGCCCAAAACCAGAATACCGAAAACCCTACTGCCCACATAGACCTTAAACCCTGAACCCGAATCCCGTTCTTCCTAAGCCCCCTTTCGGCATGCCGGAAGAGGCCGCAAGCTCAAAATGTGCAAGGGGCCCATGGGCTATCGCTGCGACCTAAGCCTCAGAACCAAAAAAACCCTCTGCCTGACCTGGGAAACCCGCGGAACAACACACTCCGAGCGCAGGGATTTCCCACAACATCTTATCCCAACCGTGAAGCCAGTAAGACGGGCCACGCATACGCCGCCCGGAGCTGCTGGAAGTCCTGGCATCGTGCTTTCTGGAGCAGGGATCAGGGCCCGGGCCTAGCTACACGACAGGTGCAAAGCTGCGTGAGCCCTTTTGGGGTAGGGACAAGGATGTTCCAACTTTTTGGAGCTTACTGTAAAGCCCCAAAAGGGGACCTTGACCTCCAGATCTGAGCCGGCATGGCATCTAGCACCAAGCAGCACAAGCCCCGGAAAGAAGCCTGGAAGAACTTGGCACTAACGGCGCCCGAGCTGCCAAGAGACTGCACTACATATGCTTCGCAAAGGCAAACCTGCCCCTAAACCCTGAACCCTTTTTACGGCTAGGACTACCCTAAGCCCTAAACCCTAAACCCTAAACCCTAAACCCACGTCCCATGGCCCAAAACCGAAGGCCCGAACATCCGAACATCGCATCCAAGATGCATCCCTTTGCCTGGGACCAAGGGATCTGAGCCCCCTGTTCTAAACTCTAAACCCTCAACCCTAAACCCTAAACCCTAAACCCTAAACCCTAAACCCTAAACCCTAAACCCTAAACCCTAAACCCTAAACCCTAAACCCTAAACCCTAAACCCTAACTAACCCTAGAGGGAAAACACACGCAGCCTCCTGCGGGCCTCTTTGCTTCCTCCAGCATCTGGGTGCGCCGTCTTCGCCTTGCCGGGCTTAAGGCTCAGGGCCTCGTGCTTTGTGGCGCCCGAAACCCTAAACCCTAAACCCTGCAACAGGCTTGCTACCTCGCCCTAAACCCTAAACCCTAAACCCTAAACCCTAAACCCAACCTATCAACACCTGCTTGCTTACAAGCCCTGCAGCAGAGATCCAAGAAGGCCTTGGCCCGCCACGGGCTTCAGGGTTCTCGAGCATCGATCCCGATCATCTACGAGGCATATGGCAAGTTTAGGGTTTAACCCCTGAATTCACCCTGAAAACCCGGTTGCATCCTAAAGGAATCCTAAACCCTCGGATCCTTCTCAACAGTTCGCCCTACAGGGCTTTGGGTTTAGGGCTCTCCTGGGATCCTTCGGACACCCCTAAACCCTGACCCGAAACCCTTTTGAATAAGCCCTAAACCCAAACCCTAAACCCTAAACCCCAAACCCTAAACCCTTAACCCTAAACCCTAAACCCTAGCCCTAAACCCCAAACCCAAAACCCTAAACCCCCTCGACACAGCGCTCGAAGCCCTCCAAAACCTTGGCGCGAAAAGACCGGCGCAGGGCTTGCGTGTCGACCTCGGCGCGAGCGATGCTTTGCTTACTTTGTGTTGGTTTCTCGTTTTTGCTTTTTCCTTTTTCTTTTCTTTTTTTTTTTTTGGGGAGGGGGGAGGGTGGGGGGGGGGGAGGGGGGGGGAGGGTGGGGGGGGGGAGGGTGGGGGTCGGGGGGCTTCGGGTTTAGGGTTTAGGGTTTCGATTTTCTTGCTTTTTTTTTTTGGGGGGGGTTTCAGGGTTTGGGGCTCTTCGGTTCGGGGGGGGGGGGGTCTTGGGATTTGGGGCTTAATTTCCTTTGTTTTGGTTTTAATCGCTCAGACTCGGGTTTAGGGCTTTGGGTTTTGGGCGGGGGGAAGGGGTTTGGAGCTCTTTGGGGGACTTTGGGGTTCCAGGGTTTGGGGCTTGGGGCTTTGGGGTTGTGGGCTCAGGGCTTTGGGGTTGTCAGGGTTTAGGCTTTCGGTTTTGGGACTTTTGGGACTTTTGGGACGTTTGGGACTTTTGGGACTTTTGCGACTTTTGGGACTTTTGGAAATTTCGGGACTTTCGGGACTTTTGGGACTTTTGGGATTTTCGGGACTTTTGCGTTTTGGATGGTTTTGCAGGGTTTTGCGGGCTTGGAGGCGGGGTGGTGAGGGGCTTAGGAGCTTTGAGGGTTATGGGTTTGAGTTTCGGGTGACATGCTTTTGGCGCCTTAAGCAGCTTAAGGTTTAGAGGCTCAGGCTTTGTGATTTTGAGCTTGGAGCTTGGGGTTTCTAAGCTTCGTGGGGCTTGAGGAAAATTGGGGCTGACGGTCTTAGAGCTTGTGGAGGCGAGGGGCCCCTACAACAGGCGACATATGTAATACAGACGCACGTGCCATTTTGATACATGTGCGCACCTTTCATGTTGCACAGACTCAATTCTAGCCGTGCGCTTGATGTTCTCCATTGCTTATATTTACATGTATATATGTGTCTTTATCTTCGTTTGAACTTATATATTTGTGTTTACTTTTATCTATAAATATATATATATGCTATTGTCACGGTCTTGGTGACGAACTTTGCGCAACACCCACATATGGATGCCTGCCTGAAACAGTACAAGAACATGCTCCCCGATCATTCTGGCATTCCGAACTTTGAGATTCTGAGCTCTGAAGGTCTTTGCCACAAAGCCATGGCTGAGGCTGCTCTTTTTCAAATCTGATCATAGGTTCCTTGACCAAAGCCCCCAGGACTAGAACTAAGAGGGGCCAAAAAGACGACGTGACCCCGACATTCCTCACAAGGAACAGACACCCCGAGATCTCCCGGCTCAAAAAACCTTCAGCTCCCTAACCCAAAGAAGCCTTCGCGTTCCGGGAAGCAAACAGCCCAAACCCTAAACCCTAAACCCTCAGCCCTTAACCCCAAACCCTAAACCCCAAAACAACGCGGTGGTGCGCGCCTCGTCAAGGTCCACGCCCAGCACGCGAAGGGCATCGGACTGCCGTGGGCAAAGGAGGGGCTTTCAGAACCTTAAAATACCTCAAACAGGTGAAGCCCTCTGATTAGAACACAACTGGGTCCGACAAAGACTCTATGAGACCTAACAGTACCTAAACCCGTCTGAAGCACATAACGCCCTGCGACAAGCCACCTCCGACAAGCTTCGAAGAGGCGAGGTAAGAGTCCCGCGGCTGCCATGGGGCCTCGACGGGTTTAGCATCTAGGGTTCAAGGCCCTCGCTGGTGCGGACATTTGCTCCCCCCAAAGTCTTTGACATCCCGGCGAGGGCCATGTCGACACACAGGAAATCGAAAAGTGACCCATGCGTAGCTGAAGTGCTATAGGCATGCGCATTGAAAGAGCTTGTCCGGGCTGGAAGCCATCAGCAGGGCGCCTCGCCTACGGAACGCAGCGTGCCTGCGAGGCGTGGTGAAGGTCATCCCGAGAAAGCCCCAAACGAGGGCCTCGGAAGCTCCATGTCTCTTGCTAGTCGAAGGTCTAAGATTTCGGATCCCTTGTAGTGGCCTCAAGTCGAGATCTGTTTGCATCACTTGGCGTCTTGGGCGTCTACCTCCTATGCCTTTTTTCTGCGTGGTGTCCTGCACATCCGATGTGCATTCACCCCGAGGCCTTCAAAGCAAGAAGTTCACAAGCGCTCACTTGGCGCAGCCGAGTGGCTGTCAAGAAGAGCCATCGCGCTGCTGGCCCGAAAGACGTCATGTCTTCATAGCACGTGCTGCGCCATCCTAATCTGCAAGCTACCTCTACAAAAACGATAAGACTGTGAGTGTCGTAGCCAAGGCTTCCTGGGATGCAAGTGGTTTAGGGGTTAGGGTTTAGGGTTTAGGGTTTAGGGCCAAGAGCCCTGACCAGATTTAACGCCACGCAGCGTGTCTACGCAGTTACCTCTTGCTGGCGGCATGTGGCAGGCACTTTTTGCAGGGGGCTTTTCGGGATTAATCGCTCACACTCGGACAAGCCTGGCGAGGCACACACTGTTCAGGGTTTAGGGTTTAGGGTTTTGGGTTTAGGGTTTAGGGTTTAGGGTTTAGGGTTTAGGGCTTAGGGTTTAGGGATTCAGAGTAGCCAGCCCCTTAGTGCAGAGCAAGACATGTTGCAACAGGAAATTCACTGGCAGCAGCCGTAGCCAGCTGACTGTACCTGATTGCGTCTGGCATTACATACGTTTAAGGGTTTAGGGTTTAGGGTTTAGGGTTTAGGGTTCGAAGTTTGCAACATGTAACCCGACGGACAATTGGTCGTCAACTTCTGCTTGCCCGAAGCAAGACATACGTTTTCAGAACGTGCTCAACGTTTTCCAAACCAAAAAAACTCCTGGGTTAGATCCACATGCTTGTGTGCGTAGGCCATTGGACCTGGAAAGACTCCGCTGTGTTTGGGGGTGGGAAATTCACAAAAGTCGTCGTTCAGAAGGATGTAGACGATGCAGAAAGCGCCGGTGGTCTTGCAGATTGTTGTACCCAGAGACTCCAAAACCCCTTACTTAAGGAATATCCCTTAAATTTGAATAGGAACCCTAATATGATTTAAGGTATATTCCTCAATTAAGGGGTTTTGGAGTCTCTGGGTATAGGAGCTCGCTGGCGCGTTGAAAGACGAAGCTGCTGGGTGCAAAGTTTTGCCACACCAGATGTGCTGCGTGCATAAAACCAGGGCCGAATCTGTGAACCCTAAACCCTTTGTGCAGCCGGACTGAGGGCGTTGCCGGAATACTGAGGGCGTGACCCTAAACCCTAAACCCTAAACCCTAAACCGGAAAAGCCCAGCTTGGGGGAACCATGCCAAAGTTGCCGCTGAAGAAGGCGGCCTATCGGCTAGGCGACCCTATTTTCTAGTGCGTCAGGCCACAGCATCTAAGTCGGCCGACATGGCACTGCACACAGATTCTAGGGTTTAGGGTTAAGGGTTTAGGGTTTAGGGTTTAGGGTTAGGGTATGGATTCTTAGGGCAGGAGATCGGCCCCCTGATTTTTTCTGGCATCGGGTTCCAGCGCCGAAATGGCATCTCTCTCTCTCCGCAGGAGGCTGCTGATTGCTGTCGGTTTGCACTCAGCTCAGCAGCAAAACTATGCGGAGGCTAGATCTGTGAGACAAAGAGAAAAGTATTGTTCGGTCAGGTCTCGCTGTAAGGCCACCCCTACCTCCTACATACAATGCTGTGCAAGAGCTTGCCTACCCGACACTGCGCCTCCAGCTTTGAGACATGACCCATTTCAGGAAAAGGAGGGTGCCCATGGGCACGTAAACTTCGGCACCCTCCGACAAGGGGGGGTCTAGTTGAGACAGGGTTTAGGGCTGGGCCCTGTCGCACGTCAGCGGCTAAGCCTGGCGCGCAGGGCAGAGACAGAACGCGCCTTCCCTTGCCTGCTTGGTTGCTTCGAAGCTTCTGTTTTCAAGCCCCAACCTGCAGAGGGTAGGATTCGATTTCAGCTTAGGATCTTGGTTTAAGGTTGAATCAAGGCTTCGGGTCAAGAGTTGAGGGTTGAGGTTAGGGGGCCCAGGGGCCTTGCAATCCCACAGGAAGCCCTCCCTCCCCCGCTGCCTGGGCTCGCAGGAGGTTCACCTGATCGGCGGGCGCGATCCACACTCGGGGCTTGATCTCAATCTCCACATCCTTGGGCTGTGGCTTCTCACAGATGGATTTGTGGGTTTAGGGCTTTAAGGTTTGGGGTTTGGGGTTTTGCCGTGACACGGCGCAGACCCTTCTTCTTTGCAACCCCAAGACCATTCGGGGGTTTAGGGTTGAGGTTTCGACTCTCACTCTTGCGGGTTTAGGGTTTAGGGTTTAGGGTTTGGGGTTTAGGGTTTAGGGTTTAGGGTTTGGGGTTTAGGGTTTAGGGTTTAGGGTTTAGGGTTTAGGGTTTAGGGTTTAGGGTTTAGGGTTTAGGGTTTTAGGGTTTTAGGGTTTTAGGGCTTTTGACCACCGAGGCACGCCGGCATCATTCACATCGACCACTACCGTGGGAAGCCAAGCTCGATGAGTGATGGATTGGTAGTGGACCCTCCTCAGATTGCAGGGGATGTCCGAAAAAAAAAAAGTGATTATTAGGGGCTTCGGGATTGGGGTAGAGACCCCCAATATGGTATAACCCCTTGACAAGGATCCCAGAAGAGGCACCGGGAATAATCCCTTGATAAGGATCCCCAGAAGAGGTACCCGACTTTTGGTAACAATGCCCATTTCAGGAGACCATCCTAGGGCAAAGGCCGCGGTTGAACGTTCAGCGGGCTGCATGGGCTGCGCTGAGTTGGGGTGGGGTGAGGGTTTAAGGGAGAAAGGTTTAAGGGTTTAAGGGTTTAAGGGTTTAAGGGTCTAAGGGTTTAAGGGTCTAAGGGTTTAAGGGTTTAAGGGTTTAGGGTTTAGGGTTCAGGGTTCAGGATGCAATGGCTTTTGGGGTTGTTCAGTGCTGGCTTTTGAGCTGCTTTTTCACTGCTTAGGGTTTGTCGATGGGTGTGGGACTCAGGACGTGGAGGTCCCTTCGCGCAGGCGTGGAGGCCCAGCACCTAAGGTTGTCTGCACATTCTCTCTCTCACTCTCTCTCTCTCTCTCTCTCTGCAAGCCCTCAACCCTTGAACCTTCCGAAGAACCACTCAGGGCGAAAGCGCTCGGCGGGTTCTAGCAGAGTCCCTCTTCTGGGTCTGTGAGGCTTATAATTTAGGCTTGTGGACTGAAGTTTCCACGGATCCCCCAAAAGAAATGCAGGGTAGGCTCATCCCCACGCTGAACTGAGTGTCTGCGAGGGTACCAGGGCGAACATACTGCACCTCCCAGCAGCTGCAGGATAAAGGGACTAAAGGAGGGACCCCCTTTCAGGGACCTTAGGGGTTAGTTAAGTTCCGGCTAATTAGGTATAAACGGAATGGATAACGTATTTGTAGGGGTTATATAGGGGGAAAAAGATTAAGGGTCCCTTCTAGGGGTCCCTCCTTTTTACCCCTTAACAGGAAAAGGAAATCTGAGGCACTTGGCAAACATCAGGAGCCGACGTTCCAACACCTTTGAAAACGCCTGGGACGGTCGACGGATAGGTCTTGAGCCATGACGGGTCTAACGGAAACTCTCCCTCACCCTAAACCCTTTTGAACCTGGGCGACCCTCAACCCTAAACTCTAAACCCTGAACCCTTTGTTTCCATACAGCCTAAACCCTAAACCCTAAACCCTAAACCCTCGGGACCAGTACTGGTCCCTTAATGAAGTAGTTGCCCTAACCCCCCTTGACCCTGAAGGTCTGGCATTTTTGTGGGGGTACCCCAAGGCCCCCCAGCCAGAAGGGGTCTTGGCTTTTTGGAACTTGAGCCCAGACGACCCGAACTCCACGCCTGGTGCTGGAAAGAGGCGGAACAGCTTTCTGCGGAGCAGGGGCTGCAGACCTGGCTTCGGGAATCCTAAGGCTTGGGAGTTGAACTGAAGCGATTTAGGGTTTAGGGTTCAGGGTTTAGGGTTTAGGGTTTAGGGTTTAGGGTTTAGGGAAACAGAGGGTGTGGGGCTTGGACTCCCAAACTCGGGGTTGATACCCCCCAACTCGCCAAGCGCATGCTCGAAGCCGAAGACCGAGGCGCCGCAACCCGAGATCACAACAGGAACCTTCTAAGCTATATCTAGACATACTACATACGTATATATACATAGATATGTATACATAAAATATATTTACACACACATATATCTATATATATATATATGATAATGATACATATACATATATATATATAACTATACTCTACTGTAGATCTCAATTGGGGTGTTAGTATACGATCAGGTGATTCCGCAGCTCCGGAACTTTGGCCCAAGGAGCCGCTGACATCGAGCTCTGAACGACGGAGAAGAAAGACTCCATCATGGACTGCGGCCTTGGGGGGCTCTCCATGTTCAGAGGGGTTTAGGGTTTAGGGGTTGAGGGGTTTAGGGGTTTAGGGGTTTAGGGGTTTAGGGGCTTAGGGGTTTAGGGTTTAGGGTTTAGGGTTTGGGGTTTAGGGTTTGGGGTTTAGGGTTTAGGGTCTAGGGTTGAGGGTTTACCTTCTTAAGGGTTTAAGGCAGTTTAAGGGTTTCTCTCAATTGTGGTCCCTGTTGAGTTCTGACTAGAACATGGGGCCTCAGGGAGCAGATTCTCGAGGCAGCTTCCACAACGCACACGCAAGCCACACAGCATGGACTGAACCCTAAACCCAGAAAGCCTAAAGCCTAAACCCTACACCCTTCACCCTAAACCCCAAACCCTAAAACCCTGTCTGGAAGGTCCGAAGCATCCGAGCTGCCTTGCTTTGCCCAGCAAAGGATCCTGGCACGCCGCTAGGGGTTTAGGGGTTTAGGGTACTAGTTTAAGACTCTCTTCGTGCCATCCTTGTGGTCCATGCAAGTTTAGGGTTTAGGGTTCACACAAAACCCCCTGCAACGTTGAATGAAGGTGCTTCTGGCTGCTCACAAGTTGAACCCAGACCCAGAGCATCAACCATCCCACCTTAAACCCCAAACCCTAAACCTCAGTCGGAAATGGGGGGGGTGGGGACTGGTGGCCGACAGTCTTAAAGGTCGTAACATGGGCACGAGAGATCTCACGGACACAACATGGAGTAGCCGAACCCTGCTCCCCGACAAGTGGGGTCCCCAGAAAAAACCCCAAAAGCGCCAAGTCTTCTGCTCTGCCGAAACCGATGGGTGCCGTTCCTATCTGGGTCTAGAGTTTAGGGCTCACTGACTTCCAAACGACATGAAGACTGAGGGCACATCTTCGGCCTCTGACACGACCTGCGTGACATTGATCGCCTTCCTGAGCCACACCCTACACCCTAAGCCCTGAACCCCCCCATTTTAGGGCTGCTGCTTTGCCACCCGTCTAGCCAAGCACCTTTCTTCTTCTTTCAAGGGAATTTGGCAGTGTGCGTGCAAAAGACACAGAAAAGCCAGGACCCGCTCAAAATGCGACAGAGGACTTACAAGACATCCTTTCTGAACGCGGCACGGTTATGGGCTTTATCCCGGATAGTCCTCAAGATATGGGCTTCCGCGATGCCGAGACGGACGTCTTCGGGACCCCCATGGACAGAGACAGTGTCTTGGAGGGTGGGCATGCGAAAGAAAGCATGCGAGTACTCCCAAGCCTGAGGCCGAGGAGTATTGAGTCTGTGATACGCAAGCGCGATAGTAGTTTCCGCCCAGCGAGGACGACGACGACCGCGACGCCGCGTAGAGGAGAGTCGACGGTAAATGAGGACACCCTCCCGAAAACACACACTCCAGGCAGGCAGCGAACAATCACGAAGAATGTGACCAAGGAGCTGCAAACGCCGAGACATGACAACATGGGACAAAGGACGAATAGAAAAACCCCGGTCAGCCAAGACTTTAAGGACAGCCTCGTGAGAAATGCCATCCCCAGTAATATGCGAGTAATAAGCAGAAGGCAGCTTAAGAATGCTGCGAAGCACTTTCATGCCGAGCGTGTCCAGTCGCATATATTGCGACGGTGACAAAGCCTCAGACTCCAACGAATACACCACCACCGCTTGGAAGATAGCAGTGTAGACTTGCAGCTTGACGGACAGAGGGACACCCGACAATCGGAAAAAAGGCTTGAGCTTAGCAAACGCCAAGCGACCAAGCCTAAGACGGTTACGCAGATTGGGATCAGCATCGCCCTTCGGGGTAGTAATAGTACCAAGGTACTCCAGCTCCTCAACCTGCTGCAAAGGGCACACATGAGGGCAGGTCTGTGACTCGTCACAGAAACGGCAGTGGCACCTCTCACCGACCTCAGCCATAGCAGGGATGATGGGCCACTCCGAATTGACTGCGAGATGGAAGGTCTTAGCAGGATGAAGAACCAAGCCTGCAGCAGAAGCGACCTCTTGGAGGACGTGGAGCATACGGTTCGCCGTTTGACCCGTACGTGCCATCAGCAGCGTGTCATCCGCGTACTCCAGATCCGAAGTGGGGGACTCACGAGAAAGCGTCCAAGGACGCTGCTGGTAGCGATCAAAGAACACGCCATCGGCAGACTCAAAAACAACGGAGAGCACAGCGACGAACAAAAAAGGGGAAAGCGGACACCCCTGGCGGATACCTCTCAAAAAGGGGTAATCCGAAGAAGCGACTCCAAATTTGACCCGGAAGATCGTGTCATGGTAGAGAGCCATGATGACCCTCCGAAATTGGGCAGGAACCCCGAGATGGGTAAGCGCCCAATCAATAGACGAGTGGTGAATGGAGTCGAAGGCGAGCCTCCAGTCCAGAGAAATGACGTGGAGCGTGCCCCCATACTGCTCAAACAGCTCCACCATGCGTTTAAGGAGGAAAACGCACTGCGAGGAAGAACGAGCTGGACGAAAACCATATTGGGAACCACGCAAACGGTCCTCAACATATTTGGCGAGACGACACCGCAGGACGCAGGCGAACAGCTTGTAAAAAGAATTCAACAAAGCAATGGGCCTATAGTTACTGGCCTCCAACGGGCAGTGCTTTTTGAACAAAGCCACTACCATGGCCTCACGCCAACTTTGGGGGTGTGGGCCACCCTCAATCATGTCCGAGAACAAAGCAGCAATAAGAAGAAGCGTCGGCAGTGTAAGACGACGAAAAACATCCGCCGGAACTTCATCCGTCCCCGGTGCTTTCCCACGCTTCGTGCGGGCGATAGCTCCCAGGAGCTCACCCAGAGACACCTTGCAGGTCAGGCCATCCACCGGAATAGGAGGATGAGGGTCCCCAAGCGGGGGTGGAAGGAACGGCCCAGGGAGCGACCATCTTTGCGCATAATGCTGCGCGAACTCCTCCGCAATGTTATACCCAGTGACCAGGCCTGTGGACGACTTGATCGCCACTGGTCTGGAGTGGAAGGCAGAGCGAAGAGAAGCCAAAACCTTCCAGGGCGGTGAGCGGGGGTCATGGTCCAACAGACGAGCTGTTGTCCAATCCCTCTTGTCACGGCGTGCCCTTTTGCGAATCTCCTTATGGTGGGCAACCTCCTGCTCATGGGTTGCCAACCCATTCGTGCGCAGGAAAGCGAGTTCATCGATTTTGGCCAACGTGGCCTCGGAGATCCACGGCTTTTTGGCCTTCCGAGGAGGCCGTCGCAACATTTGCGAAGAAATGAGAGCGATAAGGCCCTCATAAGAAAGACTGAGGGCGGGAGGCAGACTGGGGACCTGAAGAGGCTGAATGAGAGCGCCCCAACGGCCAACCCAAGAACAGCTGCCGAGGGCACCGGATTTAGCGAGCTCATCAGCACGCTCATTGCCGGGGACCCCCTTGTGAGCCCGAACATGTTGAAAGCAAAAGAAATGGCGTTGCTGCGCACAAGCGAGGTGAAGCAGCAGCTTTTCAACCAACTCTGGATGCTTCGAGGTAATCCAGTCTAAAGAGGCAGTGTACATAGCGAAATGCGAGTCTGGACGAACCACAAAAGTCGTGGCTACCGGAAACTCGCGAATGAGAAGATCAAGAAGCTCAAGAAGCGAAACAACCTCAGCCGTGTTATTGGTACAAAGCAAGGTGCCCTGGTAGGCTGGCCTCGAAGGGTCAGTCTCAACCCAACCGTGCGAGGAAAGAAGTGGAGACCGACCTTCAACATCAAAGCAGATGGAGAAGCCCCAGCCCGCCGCACCGGCGCCCGCTGAACCATCAGTGAAAACGTAAAAGACCGGACCTTCCGGCCTCTGGTCAAAAGTCGGGAGCTGCAATTGCGGTGGAAGGACCAGACCGGGTCTGTTGCCACAGGTTTTGACACGCCCTGCATCTTTAAATTGGTATTTGAAAACCAAAGGGTAGTGGTGGGAATCAAAAGCGAAAGAATGAAGGCCATGAATGCCATGAATGCTGTTCTTCCGAGTCGCAGGGACCAAAACAAAGTCGAGAATGTGATAATCCTGCGGAGCCGGATCAAAGATAGAACTTCCGGCGCCAATTTCACGGAACGTGCAAACTGGCTTCGAGGTGAAAGTGTTGAGCAACAGCAAGTTGCGCTCATGCGCAAAACTAAGAAGGTTCGCCCGATTATTCCATTCCTCAGTGTGAATCACACTGGAGGTGCCAAAAAGCGCGTCGCCAAACACAGGCGGATCCTCCGCCAGCTTCCGTATGAGTCTCGAATTGAAGTCCCCAGCGATGACGATGGGGCTGCTGGAGTTGGAACGCGGGACAATACTAGCGAGCAGGTCCCAGAAAGCCTCCTTGCGCTCTCTATCAAGCGCAGGATCCGGGAGAGTGCTGGGGGCATAAATGCTGAAAAACGTGGAAGCACGCGGTCTGGTGTTGATTTCCAGAGCAGCGACTCTCGCGTGATAAGGCGTGAAACGAATCACGTATTTACGCATGTGAGGCGCAAGGATAAAACCTACCCCAGCATGCGCGTCACATTTACGATCAGAAGAGCCGACTAAATAGAAAAGATGATCCCGAATGCAATACGAAGCAGCACCTTGTGTGTGTGTTTCCTGGAGAAGAACAATGTCCAAGTGGTAGGTTTCCATAGCTCTGACAAGCACGTGATGCTTGCCCGGGCTTCGGAGACCCTCCACGTTCCAGGTGGCGCAAAGGAAGCCTTTAAGGCGCGCCGCCCGGATCAGAGTGGGATTACGAGTTCCCACCTCTGGAGCTGGCAAAGAAGCCTTAAAGGCGCCAGCATTGGAAGACAAGTCACAGCCAACCGTGTGAAGAGCTTCTTGAACCCTTTGGGAATCCCTCGGAGCATCAACAACTAGGGTCAATTTTTGGAGCTCCGTCTTCAAAGAACGGTAGCGTTGCCGGTTGGCACGCCTGACGAGCCGAAAATTCTCTACTCTACGCGAGCGAGCCGCCACAGAACGCCTGGACTTGCGACGGGATTCCATATCAGGGGGCACTTCGCTGCCGCTCGGATCCCTGCGGACACCGACAGAACGCAACAAGTAGCGCGTCTGCTCAAGCCACTGGGGAAAAGAACGACGGCATCCCGCCTCACCTACGGAGGTGTGCCCACGCGCTAGAACATCCATGAAAGATTGAATCGCGACAGTGCGACGAAGAATCAAGTACTGGAACACAGACTTGCGCGAGTAAAACACCACGAGAGAAGGAATCTTAGTGTCGTGCAGAAGGAAAGCGCGGAAAACTCGCATACCATTTTGGAGGTAGCACTGAGTGGAATCGTGCCAAAGCGCAGACGAACGCGCTGGCCTCTGCCAAGCACCTCTTTCAAAGCTTAACGTGGAAAGCCGAAGAGTGGCATCGGAGATACTACCTCGACCGATAGCAAGAACGCGATCAATCAAGGACTTATTTCCATGCCGCGTGTACATCAAAGAGTTCAAAGCCTCTGCGCAAACGCGGTCCCAACCGCAAACTGTGTGAGTCAAAACTGGCACCAAATGTGCCTGCGTTGGGGGCAGCGGACTATGTGCCCGACCTACAAAGCAGACTCGAGCGAAGTCCTGCCGACACTTCAAAAACATGTCAAAGGCTGCCATCGGCAGGCCAGGACAGAAAACCGCAAAGAACGGCAGAAAGCGGAGAAGGAAAAACGCACAAGCGATCCCTAGTCACCACCAGCCCTTCTTGCTCTTGCCCTTGCCCTTGCCCTTGCCCTTGGAGTAGGACCAGCCGCCACCGGGAGCCCAAACGCCACCCGTCGCGTGCCAATCCGGGTTTCTGGCAGCCTTCGCCTTAGCCTTGGATTTTGCCTTCTGCTTTTGCTGAGCCTCGCCACTGTTGCCTTTCCCCTTCTTCTTGACCTCCTGGGCGGCCTCCTCGTCATCCTCATCCAACTCCTTCTTGGTGATCTCCTTGGCCTTGCGCTTCTCCTCCTGTTCCTTTGCCCATGAGTCATCCCTCAACTCCAGATTCACTTGTGGGTTGAGAGCCAAACGGCCTTGACTGCGTAGGACCGTGCTATATGCCAAATCGCCGAGAATGCTGGCGTTGGGATGTCGTAGGAGGACTTTGCTTTGCTGGTCGGTCAGCGCAAACACGAACAAAGGATGCATAGGAGGGGATTCGTCATGCAGAACCTGTTGGTACGTACTGACTTCGCGAGCTCGCGTGCCTCCCAAACACTTAGCCAACTTCACCGCACGGCACTTCGAAGTAGTATCCGCTAACTGCTGGTTGAACTCACCAATGAAATTGGCGCGAGCATAGTCGAAGATGGATTGCACGAGGCCCAGTTCCTGGACGAACAAAGTTTCACTGCCCTTGTGGAAGCGGGTCATGAGGTGGCAGATCACATCCTGCTGTTTCGAGTCCTTGGGTCGAAACATGAGCTGGCCGAAATCGGCCTTGGAGATGATGGAACCCTGGCCGTGCAACGGGCACTCCGGTCGTAACAGGAGCGCATGCATGGTTTTGATGGGAAGCATCGCGAGGAGCTTCGACTGCGGCTGGTATTTCTCCAGACGCAATTCCTTGCCAGGCACCGTCTCCTCCTTACCCTCGACCTTGTACTGCAGTTTCGGGAGCTTGCCAAGTGAGGATTGCTTCTGGAACTGCGAATACGCATCATGACAACTCTGGGCCCGAATGAACTGGAGTACTGCCAAAGCATGTTTCGAGCTGTAGCTATGGGTGACCATATCCTGAAGGTCGTCGTACTTGCAAAACGACTTGACGAAGGCCTTCAAATTGCCGATGGACGCCGTAGGAGGCAACTGGCTCAGAAGGAGTGTGCGACGCGCGACGTCTGCCTCCAGAATTTCCAAGCGGTCCTCCACTTGGTTCAACCTGGAGCCGAAGATGCGGTTGCAATCGTGCTGGGCTGCCATCGCATCCGTGACCTTTTGGGACAAGGTTTGAAGGTCGCGAACGTGGGTGTCTTTGTGGAAGGAAATGAGGGCCTGCTTGATGGTGTCCTCGACTGCAAGCTCTGCAATCTCATCGAAGTCCGTTTGCATGGCCTCGCGCTCTGGGAGCTGCATCATGGCCACACGCTCAAAGGACTGCTTGTCTTTGTCGAAAAAGAACCCACCACGCGTGGCACTATTTGCCAGGAGAAGCACAAAATCCCTGGTGTCCTTATCACGCAGGGCGTGCTTTTGTGGCTCAGAAAGATCCTCCCAAGGAACATTGAGGGCCCCTTCCACTTCTTGTTTTGCTTGCAGTTCATCGGCCTCGATCTTTACAATCTGCGGAACTGCTGAAGGATTGGGCGATGTGGAGGAAGCACCGGAGCCTTGGCTCCGCAGCTGGGCCATGGAGTTGAGAAAGCCTTGCAGCTCTTCGGCAGAAAGCTTGTCACCAAACTGCGCCTTCGCCATGGCCAGCACATCTGCTTGCGCAGGGACATCGGAGGAAGGCTCGGGCTTTGGACGTTTGCCCGCAGGGGTTTCCCCGGAGCCGAACATGATGCCTTAAAGGCGCGGCAAATGGGGGAGGTGCGAAAATGCCCTAAAGGCGCACCGAAGACGAACAGCGGAATGAGACACGCGAGTGTGCCCACCGCCAGCAAGAGCAAAAGCTACGAGCTGTTCAAAGCAAGGAGCCGCTTCTGCAGGCACTGCCGAGCCGTGCGCAGTACCCCAGCAAAGCGGACTATTTGTGGATCGACCGGTATTCGGCCGCTAACGTCTGATTTGAGGCTCTAGCCAAGCACCACCGGGGGCAACTGCATTGGGACCCGCAAAAGGAGGTGCGGGGGCGCCAGGGTCGCGTCGAGGATTGAGGGCCTTGAGCCCTCGACCCGAAACGACAAAGCATTGCCTTATTCCCATACACACACATACATATATACATATATATATATATATTTAAATTTATATTTATATTTATTTATTTATTTATTCATTGATTTTTTGTGTTTTTTGTTTCGTTTCTTTGTCTTTGGGGGGGTTCGACGAAGCACCCGAACTCCCCAAATCTCTCAAAACAACTTGAACGGAATGATCCAAAAAGACTTTTTGTTGCATCCAGGCTTGGGCGAGCGTGCCGGGAAAGAGCTCATGCTGCCCAGGTTCCAAAGAGACTTTCAAACCCTAAACCCCAAACCCCTTCCAGCCCTTCCAAGCCCTCAAGGAAGAGGCATGCAATAATAGGCATGCTGAAGAACAACGAGGCTCATGAAGCGGCGAAGGCGATGCAGGGAGCCGTCGAGTACCTCAGCAAAAAGGGACCAAAGACCCGTGGTTTAGGGTTTAGGGTTTAGGGTTTAGGGTTTAGGGTTTAGGGTTTAGGGTTTAGGGTTTAGGGTTTAGGGTTTAGGGTTCAGGGTTTAGGGTTTAGGGGATAGGGTTTAGGGTCAGTGCGTTAGGGCCGCTAGCTCCGGGGCTTCAGGGTGTGCTGCAGTTCAGTGCTGCAGTACACTGCTGCAGTTCAGTTCGGGACTGCATCTAGGACCCGTCTTCCTTCGGGCGACTAGGCGTTACATATCCGAGTTCTCAAAGTTCCATGCACGTGCGAAAGGGGAGAAGTGTCTCTGCCCTTTGAGCTGTCGCTCGCCTTACTCCTGGTGGCATGTTGCTGCCTTGCCAAGTCGCAGTGGCCGCGGGAGTTGTAGTCAACCAAGCATGCTGGCAGGCATTTTTTGCGGTGATGCGTTCCGCTGGATTCCTGGGCATGCTCCAGAATGAGAGGAAGGAAACCTGCAACTGGGTTTAGGGTTGAGGGTTTAGGGTTTAGGGTTTAATCGTTTCGTATCTCTCTGTGCAAGCATGGCAATACTCATCTGCCGGCACCCAGCTGCTTCACAGACCCGAGCCCCTGGACTCAAAACCTCAACCCCACGCCCCCATGTCCTTCAAAACCCCTCACGACTCACAACTCTGCTCAGCCGTGCCACATCTTTAGAAGCTCACGGACCATCGCCTTAGCATCCTGGGAGATCGCCGACCAATCCTGCCAAGAAAGGCTTCACCAGTAAGTTCCCCTCATTTAAGTATCTGGCTTGACTCCGTGCCCCCATCATGCCAAGGTGGATCTGCCTTAAACGCAGCAGTAACCAAGCTAACCTCGCGAAGGGGAGGCCCAGGCTGGATGCGGCTAAAACTGCAGAAGGAGATCTAAGGCGTCATCTACACGGCTAGGCAACTGCGCCGAAAGCCGCAGAGAAAGCAGAAGAGGGAAAGGGGACCAATCACCACCGCTGCCCTCCAGGCCCTGCCTTCAATACCCAGAGAGCCCAATACCCTGAATTCAGGGATTTACCCTGAGAACATCCGGCGATCCTTGATGTGATTTAAGGTATCTCCTTAATTCAGGGATATTGGGTTGTTTGGGTACCCTTTTGCAAGGATTTCAGATCGACTCGGACGTCTGCTTGTGCTTCCCAATAGGCTCCGCTGCTCCTCCCTGGGCATGATCCACCTTTAACACATGTGCGCGAGCCACATGAAGCTTCAAGCTACATCGCAGCCGCTTCGGCGGAGAGCTGGCTGAGACTGTCTTGTCTCCTTTCATACCAAACCCCAACCCAAACCCCTGAAAAGATCCAAATAAGTAGAGCGTCACTATCAGAAACCCACGCAAGCCTGTGGGACCCATCATTTAAAGAAATGGGCACGGGAACCCGGAACCCCCCCAGCTAACCCAGGAAGCCTGCATGGGAAAAGCAAAGTTGCCGCGCTTGATGGCGGCAGTAGTCTTCATCATGTCCTCGAAGCTGGCCAGATTCTCTTCATTACGGGGGCAAGGTTGGGAGGGTGTGCAAAGTTGCAGGGCTTGGACTTCTCCTGTATCAACTGTAGAGATGGGAGTCCGCAACCACACATGGACGTCTACACTCGACAGGAGCTTCTAGGGCAAACCTTGGGGTCTGTTCTGAATATAGGATGGTCGCTTCCGGTGGGTCCCGTCCCCGTATATGCGGATCGATCCAAACACAAGGCCGTCATACGGCTTAAGGACAGATGCTCAAGGACCCTCAACAGAAAGATCCTAGGTTTCAAGCAACCCCCACAATTTTCAATGCCGAAGGGCCGTGTCGTGCCAGAAGGGAGGATAGCCACTCAGCCTGCCACGAGGCCCAAGACTAACATACCCCCAAGTGCTTCTGGCCCTCTTTAGGGGTCAGGTTGGAGATGTCCGACTTCGATCCGAATCTGGAGTTGCTCTTACTTAGTCCTGGTTTTGAGACCTGTTTTTGTGGAATCCAATTCCCTATCTACCTGCGTCGAGCACTGCATTCTCCTCACCCGCCACAAGTGCCCCGGCCTCAAAACCTACATCGCGGTCCAGAGCTGAAGGTTCTGAATGCCAATTTCTAGCACAATCAAGGGGCCTTTGAAGGCAAAACTCGAGATATCTCGAAGAAAGAACAAACTGCCCGAAGTCCTCAGCAGACGATCGCAACACACAGCCCTGCACACCCCTGAACGCTGCCAAGAGGCAGCAGGTAGGTAAGCACTCCGCAACTCCACAGGTCGGCAGCAAGGTCGTAGCGGCCTGAGATCACCTCTTCAGGGAAGAGGCGGTACCCGTATTAGTTTCCCCTCATAGTCTCCTTCGGGTCCTTGAATTCTGAGGACAAGCAAAGGAATTGTGGGCAGTGTGAAATTACACCAAAATGCTTGGAGGTCGAGGCTTTTGGCTTGGCCATGGAGGTTTCTCCGCGTTCGAGGGTAGTGTGGGGGAACCCCCAACCAAGAAGCGTACCCAAAGAAAGAAAGTGGGAGCATCGGGCTGGTCTTGCAGACAAAGGCCATGCCTTGTAAGCCTTGAACCACCCCACCATATACTCATTCCCCTTCTAAGGACTGATATAGTAGGGATTATAAAGGGGAGTACTATAATCATAATCCCTCGTAAGGACTGCTAGTGTAAGGGGGGAACATCCCAATCCCAAACCTCCGCCCAAACGCGCCTGCGGAGCCATATACGGCAGCGTGCCCATCTTGGTTGACAGGTGACCCTCCTAAACCCTAAACCCTAAATCCTAAACCCTAACTGAATTGGAGTGGAAGGGGCCCACAGCAAACAAATCGTGCAACCAACCACCTGTGTCATGACTTGCATGATCCGGCACTCTTGATCCATGACTTGAACATCTGGCCCTCAAGACATCTATGGCAATAAAATACCATAATAATTCTGTATTGTATACTGACAAGATATATTACAATAGCAATATACCATAACTCTCCAAGCTCCATAAACCTCTTGGCCCTAAGCCCTATCCGCTCTTGATGCATGGACTGCACCCCATAGGTCGTGGGGATGACATGGGGTGGAGGGGCTGGGGGGAGAAGGTAAAAGATCCAGGCACCATGGAAGTTTTGGGGATTTTGGGCGGGTTTTTTAGGGAGTTTTTTGTGGGGGGTTTTGGGGGCTCCTGAACCCTAAACCCTAAACCCGAAACCCTAAACCCTGGACCCTAAACCCTAACTGATGCGCGTGAGAGGTGCCATGCCGCGGAGATCTGAGCCATGGGGGCAAAGCGCCGAGAGGCCGAAGTCCGTGACCTGCTGTGGGGTTTAGGGTTTAGGGTTTAGGGTTTAGGGTTTAGGGTTTAGGGTTTAGGGTTTCGGGACTTTGGTGTCTCTTAGGGTGCTGACTCTCTGCAGCGCTCAGGGCCTTAAGGCTTGGGATTTTGAAGGTCCAGAGCCCTAAAAAGGTTCCAGGGCCGGACCTATAAGCTTAGCGCACCTCGGCTTTAAGTAACCGGCCCAAATTCAGAGGCACAGGGCTTTAAGCCACCACGCGACCTGCAGTCCGAGAAGCTGTGGAGGCACGGGTTTAAGGCCCACGCACACCCCGGAGAGCCATTTTGAAGGTCGTGGGCTTTCGGGCTTGGAGTTTAGGGCCCTTGAGACCCTGTTTGAAACCGGACTTGTTGACTGCCAGTGAAAACTCATCCCTTTTTGCACCAGTTTCAAGGAGAATGCACGGCCCTAAACCCTGAACCTTAAACCCCCGGACTGCTCTAAACCCTACACCCTAAGCCCTTGTTTGAAGTTGGACTTGCTGACTGCCAGACACCCTAAACCCGAAACCCGAAACCCGAAACCCTCAACCCTCAACCCTCAACCCTCAACCCTAAACCCTAAACCCTAACCAAGGTTGCCTTCAAGATGTTGTCCTTGATTGGCTGTCGGTGCAGGAGGAGGAGGTTCTCGGGCTTCAGGTCTCGATGGCAGATGGCGCAGCTGTGGAGGAAGGCCACGGCCTTGAAGACCTGTTGAGGGGTTCTTTGGGGTTTAAGGTTCAGGGTTTAGGGTTTAGGGTTTAGGGTTTAGGGTTTAGGGTTTAGGGTTTAGGGTTTAGGGTTTAGGGTCTAGGGTTTAGGGTTTAGGGTTTAGGGTTTAGGGTTTAGGGTTTATGGCTGGTGCTTCTTAGCGGGGTTTACTTGGAGGTTCATGGGTACTTAGAAGTAGGGTTATAAGTACCCTAAGTAAGGTTATAACCATAGTTACCATGCTGTGCCCGTGAACCTCCAAGCAGGGGGGGGTTTAGGGTTTGCTCGGCGCTGTCTCTGTGTCTGAGCGACTGTAGGGTTTAGGGTTTAGGGTGATTTGGGGGGGGGGGGGGGGGGGGGGGGGGGTGGGGGGGGGGTTATTTTTGAAGAACCAAGGTATTTTGGAGGTGTTTGGAGGGGTGATGAGGAATGCTCTGTTTCAGAACCACGGTATTTGGCGGGGGGGGGGGGGGGGGGGGGGGGGGGGGGGGGGGGGGGGCGAAGACCTGTTTGTACCTTAAGGGCTTTTAAGGGCACATGGTTTAGTGTTGCATTTTTGGGGGCTGGGCTGACATCAGGAAAAAGGGGAACTGCTCCAGCTGTAAAGGCTGTGTCCACTGGGCCCCCTTGCAGCCCTTACTCTCTCACCCTGTCTCTTTGGTTACGCGCTTCCCAGTCTAGAGTGCAAGCCCAAAAACCCACAACCCTTCCTGCAACCTAAAGCCTAAACCCTAAACCCCAAACCCTAAACCGCAGCCCTTCACCAAACCCCACATGACATCCACATTGCCGCCTGCCGCATCACCAGAACCACCTCCGGAGCTTCACAAGAATTAGGATTAGGGCTTTTGGGCATCGGGTTTATACTCCGAGGGATTGTAGAAAGTTTTTGGTCACCCGCCCAGCACTCTTTCGTGATCGGGCAGAGATGCAAACTGTCTTCAGCTCTGCCCATCTACTGCGGCAGTCTCACATGCAGCAGAGTTGTACAGTCTGCACCACCGGCCAGCGGACAATTCAATTCGGCACCACACAAGAAAACCCAAACCCACAGACCCCCAACAGTGAGAGGCGATGTAAGCCCACACCTCGAAAAGCGACGACGACAATTTGGGAGTTCGGCAGTGCGCGGGCCCGGATCTCCCAAAGCACGACTGCGGCACGAAGTCCAAAAGCGATGACCGAGCGTGGCCACACGCTGCGACTAAGCAAGAGCTTGAGGCTTGTTCAGAATGAGAACGGGCTTCGAAAGCACCGCGCGCGCTTGCGCTCACGGGGCCTAAATCGACCAAGCTCCTCTTATTTAGCTCGTTTGAAGTCAACGGACGCAAGAGGATGTCAAAGCGCCCCCAAGTCCAGTACCCAAGCCAACACAAGAAGCAGAGGACATGCAGGGGATGTCCTTTTTCATGGGGAACCCCTTTATGCCCAAAATCTCGGAGAATCCCTCCTCAAAAGGGGACCTGAATCTTCAAACCATGGAGGCCGCCTGGGCCTCGGTGTGCGTTCCCTGCTCCAACAAAAAGGCCACCTGAGAAAAGCGATTGCGAGGGCTTAGGGTTTAGGGTTTAGGGTTCAGGGTTTAGGGTTTAGGGTATCGGGTGTTTTTTTTCCACGCTAGAAAGCTTACGGTGCAAGATCCCCCCAAGTGTGGTTCCTTCTCCTGTTTGCGGTAGGGGGGGGGGGGGCCATACGTACAATGAACCCTGGACCCATCGGGGTGACGGGGTTTGTTTAGGGTTTTGGGTTTTGGGAATTGGGTTTAGGGTTTAGGGTTTAGGGTTTAGGGCTTAGGGCTTAGGGCTAGGGTTTAGGTTTCACAAACCCCCAAAGCCCTCCAAACTGTGTTTAGGGGTTTGTGCAGTTTAGGGTTTAGGGTTTACCGTTCAGGTTTAGGGTCTCTGGGTTTAAGGTTCAGAAGCTTTAGTGTGCCTTATAGCACCCATTTGAGTCTGTAGATCCAAAACGTCCCTAAGCCTAAGAGGTGGGGCTGTCACCCGCGGCCGAAACTTTTTTCCATGCCGCACATTCCTGGGCACCGGAGGGCCCACTTCTGCGAACCGAAGGCTCTAATGTTCCTTTAGGGGGCAACTAAAGACTAGTCTACCCTCCAATGTACTACATTGGGCACCCCCCAAAACCATCCCTAGTATTTCTGGGGGACTTGCATGAGTGGTACTAGGTACCCGACAAAAAAGCATCCTGAGCATGGTGGTTGTTGAGGACTTGTGTTCATGGAACTCGGCATGGCACTCGGTTCACCCGAAGCAAGTCGTTCTCGTCGCAGATCGAAGAGCCAAGCTGGAACGTAATCTCATACCGGGAATAGGACACTAAACTGATCGTCGGGTAGAGGAATTCACCGTCGAAGAGCACGGCACTCCTCTCTTGATCCTCTAGGTCCGGGCGGTCTTCGCGAATAGCCTCCAGGTCACGCACAGTCATCGGCGTATCTCTTATGTGCACGGTCTGCGTGACGGTCTGGAGTTCCTGCTTCTGGCCGACGACCACTACGCGAGCACCGGCATGGATCACGGGAGTGTCATGAGTCATCCGGCAGCCAAAAACCGTCGTGTGTCCATAGCCATCCTGGAGGAACATGGGAGGGGCAGGCACCGTGGAGTCGGGCCAAGGAAGATGGGGCCGGGTCGAAAACAACCTCCACGGAGCACTGATATCACACGCAGCTCGTATCAGCTGTTCCTCGGCCTTCGCGGCAGCTGTCTGCCTCACAGCAGCAACATGATGCTAATCTAACGACAGGTTATTGCTTTTTCGGCACTTGGTGGGATTTTGCTCAGACCTGCGCTCGCTGCAACACACCTGGGCCCACAACCCAAAAGCGCAAACTTTGGAACCCAAAATCCTCATCTCGAAATCCTAATTAGAGTATGTCGAGATGCAACTCTTCAGTATTTGGCCATAGAAGCTTTCCATCCGGCTCCTGTAGCTGAAGCATAGTCAGCCTGCCAGAAGAATCGAAGCCATGCAGATTCATATCTTCGTGATTTCTGTCTTGCTTCGGGCGTGCGGGGTGGGTGGGAGAAAGGATTTAGATGGCCCACCACAATCGGGCCACAGCTGCTCTTTGCACCTCATGAAGCTTTCGAGCTTATTCCGCATTCCAACCTCCACAGCATCTGCGCCATGCTCTTGCAAGCCCTAGACCCTCAACCCGAAACCCGAAACCCTAAGCCCTAGACCCTAAACCCGAAACCCGAAACCCTAAACCCTAAACCCTAAGCCCGAAGCCCTAAACCCTAGCCCTAAGCCCTAAACCCTAAACCCTAAGCCCAAACCCAAGCTCCAGGCAAGGGGCAAAGGATCCACAGACTCCACAACAGCGGTCAGCTCCTCCAGAAGCCCCCAAGCGACCCCCCCAAATGGCCCAACTTGGAAGGTTTTGGGGTTTAGGGTTTCGGGTTTAGGGTTTTGGGGTTTTAGTGGCACTTGCACAACAGGACGATTTAGGGCTTAGGGTGTAGGGTTTAGGGTTAAGGGCTTTTTTTTCGGGTGCCAAAGCGCATCCCAAACTCCTTGATATCCGCTTAAACAATTCAGGCTGGCACGTAAGATGCCGTGCAAAGGTGGGGTCACTAGTTAAGTGCCTAGGAGGCCCCTTCTATCCGAAGAGGCAGTGCGACCTAGATGTTTTGGAAAGACTAGCAAAGCTCGCGCTTCAACTTATTCTAACCAGTGGCGTTGCGGATGTCACCTTCTAGAGCCTCTATCTCCAGCCTGGTCAGAACGTGTCTCAGAGGGTTGTCCGGCAGTGTAGCCAAGAGCTGTGCTAGTTGAGCAAACTGTCGTTGCAAGAAGAGCTGCGATGGCAGAACCGGCCGATCCGCTCATTTCCGTGCGTTTGGGATTCTGGAATGGTGTGAGGCCTTCTTTGCCCATACTACTACGGCGTCAGCATCTGCGGAAGACAGCGTCTCTCGTTTTGCGGTGCTTCAGTTCGAGGACGGCTCAGGCCATGAATACGCAAACTTTCTCCTTCCGACTTAACCTAACCTGCTGCGGCAGAGGTGTCGAAGCTTAGCGCACGCAACTTAGGCTTGTTCCTTCCGAGCTGCTTTAGCTACCTTGCTGGGTGCGATCCAGCTGACTTGAGTACCTAGGTATTTGGAATGGGGGACCTCCTTTACAGGCGTGCTATCCACGAAATGAATGGGAGCTTGGGCAGTGTGGTCTGATAGGAGTTCCGTCTTTGCCATATAGACATTTAAACCGTATAGGGTGGCCTCGATCTGCGTTGCTCTCAGCATCTCTTTCGCTGTTGACGAGAACCGATAATATAAGCGCGTCATCAGCATGCTACATCATATACTGGTCTGCCCACTGACCAAAAACTGGCGGGAACGCCGATAGTTCTAAGTTTGGTTGGTATCTACATCAGACGTCATAACTGTCATGAGCGTTCGGAACAGATACTGTAGGGGCTGAGTGGACATCCCTGTCGAATGCTCGTACGCAGGATTCGCCTCGGAAGCCTTTGGCCTCTTTGTTCCGTGTAAAGACCCGCAATTATGTCTAAGTAGTGGCGGTGTACTCCGAGCCTTTGCAAAGAAATCATACGCGATTCGTGGTCAACTTTAGCATTGCCAGTTTCCAATCCAGGAACAGAAAATGTAGCGACGAGCCGCTTTCAATGGAAAGGTCCTGCGCACGTCTGGCTATGAACAGCGGGGTCCAGCGTCGAGCGTTGGGCCCTGAAGCCGGACTGGGTGCTGCGCAGACGGCGGTCGCGCGCATAGGGGGTTCAGATCGAACGCCATCTGGGCCCGGCGCTCAGTCCGCACGGAGTTGTTTTAGTACCGTGATCAACTCTTCCACTGTGAAGGGTTCCGGCGGTGTAACCGAGGGTGGGTGCAGGGGAGGTGAGTCTCTTACTAGCCGCCTTTCCTCTTCTGTTACTTCAGACGGGCCAATTGGATTTTTTGAGAGGTGGTCGGCAAAAACTTCGGGCCTTCGGGGGCAGAACCCTAAACCCTAAACCCTAAACCCTCAATGCGGCACTGAACGCGGTCCAGCCAAATCGCCCACAAGTCATGCTGCAACGGCAGGAGAACAACGCAATGATAGCAGTCACAGCACTCGCAAATACCAAGTGGCTCCCTCCAAGAATCCCAAATGAAATGGTGCAAACTGAAGGGCTTGGCAGCATATTAATCCTAAACCCTCAACACTAAACCTCTAAACCCTGAACCCAGCATGGCTCTGATGGGCCCGCCACAACCTCCATGAAAGGTATTTCCTTGGCCTGGGGGGTACCGTACCCTGAACGATGCAAGGTACCTGCTACAATTGAGACCCATTGGGTGCCAAGAGACCAGCTGTAGGTTTAGGGTTTAGGGTTTAGGGTTTAGGATTTAGGGTTTAGGGTTTAGGGTTTAGGGTTCAGGGTTTAGGGTTTAGGGTTTAGGGTTTAGGGTTTAGGGTTTAGGGTTTAGGGTTTAGGGTTTAGGGTTTAGGGTTTAGGGTTTAGGGTTTAGGGTTTAGGGTTTAGGGTTTAGGGTAGTCTAATACACTTGAGAGAAGTCGAGCTTGGGATCTGGGAGCGAGGCGCGTGTCAGCACTGATTTCGACGGGTTTGGAGTTTTAAGGTTTCGGCTTTGCCTAAACCCTAAATCCTAAACCCTAAACCCTGAACCCTCAATCCTGAACCCTAAACCCTAAACCCGAATCCTCGTCCACGGCATCCAGTCTCAGGTGTGGGGAGAGCTTCGCGCCCACGGAGGTCACCAGGCTAATCGGCGCCTGTCTCTGTTAGGTATGGCCCTACACCTTTTAGGCTTTAGGGTTGCGGGTTTGGGGTTTAGGGTTTTAGGGTTTAGGGTTTAGGGTTTAGGGTTTAGGGTTTAGGGTTTAGGGTTTAGGGTTTAGGGTTTAGGGTTTAGGGTTTAGGGTTTAGGGTTTAGGGGTTAGGGTTTAGGGTTTAGGGTTTAGGGTTTAGGGTTTAGGGTTTAGGGTTTAGGGTTTAGGGTTTAGGGTTTAGGGTTTAGGGGTTAGTGTTTAGGGTTTAGGGTTTAGGGTTTAGGGTTTAGGGTTTAGGGTTTAGGGTTTAGGGTTTAGGGTTTAGGGTTTAGGGTTTAGGGTTTAGGGTTTAGGGTTTAGGGTTTAACCCTATGAAGCAGTTGGTGTCGTTCATGGAGGGTCTCGGACGAGGCCGACTGACCTGATATCAACCCAGCTGGATTGCGTCTTGTCAAAAGCGCGTTCTCACATTCTGAGGTTTGCGTTCCACCTTCAAGCCTGAACTCCCAGAGCCCGAAATACACTCTCAACTCCCGAATCTTCGATACCCTCAACCAAAAGCTGAGCCTGAACAGCCCTAAACGATCATCGAAGCATTGTTGGGATGTCACCCCTTGTCCCCCCTTGTACTAACAATCCTTTGTCGGGTTTCTAGTACCCCCCCCCCCCCCCATGATACTCCCTACGAAGGCCTGTTAGTGCGAGGGGGAACATTCTCAAGTTTTAGGGTCTTCTTCTTCGCCTTCATTTTGGACGCCATGTGTGCGGCCAGATCCCCAACGCTCTGGAAAGCAGAAGGCGCACAGCTTTCCGAGAGCTCGCCGGCCAGTGTCCTGACCTTGGACAAGATGATAGGGTCTTGGCTCATGACGCTAAACCAGATATGCTCATATTGACAGAATTGCAGTAGGAATGTGAATGAACAAGAAGAGCAGCATGACAACCAGAGGCAGACTGTTCTGTCAGTACCCTCCGAACGAACCTGTGGTGAGCTTGAGTCCTCAAGCTCAAGCCCAACACCCACGGACAGCAAGCAAGTCTTAAAACCTGTAAGCACAATAAGCCTAAATTAGCCCTGCAGAACAGCCAATGGCATAGCTTCATGTTCGGTCATTTGCGGATGCTTCCGTCTTTTCCGGTTGTGCCTTTCCCGGTTTTCTTTCGAAACTGAAACCTAGCAGTATGTGCTGTCGGGATCTGAACCACCTTTGACTAGGGCTTCGGGATGTTAAGGGTTTCAGAATTCAAGGCTGAGATGGACGTGTGCTTCATCTGGGCATGATGCTCAGACGGTGGGCCCCAGTGTTTCTATTTCTATGTCCACAAACTCAGGACCCTAAACCCAAAACCCTAACCCTTTTCAGGGTCTCCGCAAAGACAAGGGGCGCGGACCATGGTGATCGACTGCGTCGGGCTTCGATGCGCCAACGCGTCGGGGATCAAAACTCAGAGCTATGCTGAGCCTAAAGCTTGCGAGAAGAAGCAAGAAAAGGACAAATTAAAAATAAAATAAAATATCCACAAGAATGGATAAATAAACCCTAAACCCAAACCTTTTGAACCCAGGCTCGGACAAGGTCCTGCCAAAGTCATCCCAAGAACCCAAAACCCTCAACCCCAAAGCCCATGACTGGGCTTCGGGTTCAGGGATCAATGTCCTAACCCACGACTGGGTTTAAGGCTTGTTTTTCGCTCCCGGCTAGCTGGGCGTACCGCACTACGGGGGGTCTTGAAGGTTACCACGGTTGCCCTGCAATTCCCCAAGCTGTAACGGAAGCTACCCTGACATAATATTGGCCTTTGGATAGGTTCTTGCACTGACCTTTCAAATCGGAAGGATACCTAACGTAGGTCCCAGGCTTCAAACCTGTTGCTTAGGACTGGCGGCTTTGGGTTTGAGTTTGGGAGGGGACTGCCTATTTCGGGCAGCTGCCCATCGACCACTCTTGCAGATCCGGTCGCGAGTTCACCACCCTGGCAGAGCTCCATGACCATGTATACAAAGCAGTCATCTTCGTAGGTCTCATGAAGCCTGACTACCTCAGTCTCCATCGGAACGGACACACATGTTCAGGCGTTGGAGCCCAAGGAGGAGGAGCATCGAGCAAACCCCTGCCGTCAGGCCACGTGGTCCCCATTCTGCACACGCTTCATGATGGAGACCTCTGATTGACTATGTGGAGACCCCTAAACTGCACAACGGCCGTTAGGGAGGGGGGGGGGGGGGGGGCCTAAATCGGCACGGAAGCTCGACCAGAAAAGTGTTCCTCGTTGAGGGAACAACCCAAGCCCTGAACCCGAGGCTCCGCCTGGATTCTGTATCTTTAGATGATATATATATATATATATATGTATGTATATATACATATATATATATGTATGTATATATATATATACATATATATATATACATAGATAGATAGATAGATAGGTAGATAGGTAGATAGGTAGATAGGTAGATAGGTAGATAGGTAGATAGGTAGATAGGTAGATATATGTATATATAAATATATAAATATATAAATATATAAATATATAAATATATAAATATATAAATATATAAATATATATATATATATATAAATATAAATATATATATATATACACATGATATTATATCAGCGTATTGTATTAGATGTTGTTCACTGCATGTTATATATGAAAAGGCATGAACCCATTGGCCTCCTGCTGCAGTCGCTCCTTGTCCCTTCGGCGCAGCTGGCGCGATGCCGAGCCCGGCAGCTTCGGCACAGACTGTCAGGGCTCGCGTGTCTCTTTTTCATGCCACTGCTCTTTCGGCATGGGGTTTAGGGTTTAGGGTTTAGGGCTTAGGGTTCAGGGTTTAAGGTTTAGGGTTTAGGGCTTAGGGCTTAGGGTTTAGGCCTTAGGATTTAGGGATGCAGACAGGGTGGTCTTAGTGTTTGGCCGTTTTGCGGCTTGCAGGGTGCAGGAGCAGAGGGCAGCTTTCTAGCGAAGGACACCACTTCAAGTTCAGGGATAAAACATGGGAAGCCCTAAAATCAAGGGCATCCTGCAGCCAGCTGGCAGCTGCCCTTGTATAGAAGCCTTTCCCGAAGTGGCCTTGATGGCCACACGCTCTCCGCTCTGCGTGCAGATGGCCTGTGGGGGGCAGTGGCTTGGAAGGAGGGTTTCGGGTTTGTTGTTTAGGGTTTAGGGTTTTTTGTTGCAGGGTTTAGGGTTTAGGGCTTTTTGGTTGGGGTTTAGGGGTTAGGGTGTAGGGTTTAGGGTTTAAGGTTTAGGTTTAGAGTTTAGTACCTTCTCTGCCGCAATGCTGTTGCCACCCTTTGGATGTATAGGCTAGGGCCTTGGATTTCATGCCTTGCCGGATCTGCACTCGCCCTGTTGAAAACAAAGGTCGTACTAAACCCTAAACCCTAAACCCTAACACCTTTTGGGGCCCGAGATTCCTTCCTGGCTTTGCTTGACCCCCTACGATGCCTGCGCGACAAATCCAAAGCCACCAGCACCTGGGCACAAGGACGCAGGTCCGCTCAAGCCAGCTTTAGGGTTTAGGGTCTAGGGTTTAGGGTTTAGGGTTTAGGGCTTAGGGTTTAGGGCTTAGGGTTTAGGGTTTAGGGTTTAGGGTTTAGGGTTCAGGGTTTAGGGGTCTTTTTGGGGGGGCCTTTGGAGGGCTTCAGGTCGAGGATTTTCGGTCGTTTTGGCACCCGCATATCTGGAGTGGTTCATGTTAGGTTTAGAAGTCTAGGCTTCCTAAACCCTAAACCCTAAACCCTAAACCCCAAACCCTAAACCCTAAACCCATCGCTCCACAGAGGCATACTTGTTGATGCATAGCACCGATCGGCCCAGTTCAGAATGCTCCACACATCCTTTCATACCGAGATCAACACACAACCAGCCAAAACGACCAAAGGAGCTGTTTTAAGAATACACAAGTCAACAGAGTAAGGATGCGATGTAGCCCTCCCTGGCACACAGTACTTGCAGGACATTGCCGAGCACTGTTCCGCCCAAGCTGTCCCACTGTCCATGATTCCCGATAAGTAGAACCGCATAGCCGCTAAGAAAGACAGCACGCATAAATAAACCAGCAGGCTAACACTTGGCTCATAAATGCTACACAAAGGACTGCCAGTTTGCTGGGGGAAGTTTTTGGATTCAGGGTTCGGGCCGGGGGGAGGTGCTGTGTCTCTTGCCGTTCGCAGCTAGTAACTTCAGGAGACCCATCTGATCGCCCACAACCGAAGCACTTTGCAGTTTGCTCACTCCCACGGCTCTGGTGAACGTACGATGCTCTCTAGCACACTTGGGTGCTCATGGGGCTGATGTTAGGTGGGGTGATGGCTGACTCCAGATTATGCCGGCGTAGACCCCAAACAGAGCAAAACGACCTCAACATCACCGTAAAAGCGCTCCCCGTGCACCCCAAGAGCAGGCCAGCAGCACACCACTGCAAGAGCCCCCCGAAAGACCAAAAGAAAGGACACTCCCCGAGGAGCTAACCCCAAAGAGTGCTGCCACATGTTGCCACACTGTTCCTAAACCCTAAACCCTAAGCCCTGAATATTTTGAGGGTACTCCGTATCAACCCCCCTCCAAGCTGCGGCCCAGCGGCTGATCTTCGAGCCCTGTTTGACATAGTTCGTCCAAATACAACCTGCCAAGGGCTCCAACAGCTTTTTGACATCCCAGAAGGCCCTTTATATCCCTCTCTGAAGGAATATACCTTAACTGATAAAGGGACCCTTAGCATGATTTTGAGGCCTACTGGGCTCTTGAACTTCCACCCTCTGCAGCTGGGGGAGGCTGTGGACATCCCCGGTGGAAGGGAACTTCGCTCTTCACACTTCCTACAGGCCTCTAGAGGCTACCGGGAGCGCATCAGGCACACAGGAACCGCAGAGCTGTTCTTTCGAGCTGCGTTGCTGGTGGCGGGCGTGGGCACTACTGGGAGGGCGGGGGCCTGGTTTCCTCTGGAACCTGCTCGCCCCCCCACGGCCCTCTTACCTGTTCCTAAGAATCAGGCGCGAAACTCTTGCGGAATCTGCTTGGCAGAAGATCCTGCTCTCGAACCATCTAGCTCGTTGCCTCGGTACGAGTAGTAATTATGCCGGTGCCGGTAGCAACAGGAATCTACAACACTAAATGCTGTGACGTTCGGTGTTGGCCGGGCATGTTCTAACGAAACACAAAGCGTGCATATGTGACACATCCCTGCGCCTCTGCGCACTATCATCGCAGCGCGAGATCTCACAGCTACTGCTCCAAGAAAGCAGGCTCAACTTGCTTCGTCGGACCCTAAACCCTAAACCCTAAACCCTGAACCCTGAACCCTAAACCCTAAACCCTAAACCCTAGACCCCAAACCCCCCGAAGCTGACCGCCCCCTACCATCCTCAAGGCTTTTGCACCCCTCTTACCCTTTTTGCCCTTCTGCAAGAGGCGACTTGGAGGTCCGTTGACACTTATGACTCTTATGACCCCAAGAATGAGTCTGCATATATCCTATTTAGGGGACTTCGGGGGTTGTAAGTACAGTTTGGATTGGGATTCTGACTGCCCTGAACCTCCAAGTAGGCCCAGAACCCTGATACATCCCTAAAGGGAGACCCTTGTGTCAGAGTCCGCGACAGGGTCTTCCGTGTCGTCCTCTTGAGCCGCGACCGGAACCAAGCTCAAGAGATGGGAGTCTCCTTTTGAGAGGACCGAGCCCTTCGACAATGTCGAACTCCTCCTCGCCGCCCCGGTTTGCATCATGTTCTCCAGCTTGCGGCTCGTCTCCTCGCAGTTTTGTAGGGTTTAGGGTCTAGGGTTTAGGGTTTTTTTGCCACACGACTAGCCACAGCAATGGTACCCTTGAGGTTTAGGGTTTAGGGTTTAGGGTTTAGGGTTTAGGGTTTAGGGTTTAGGGTTTAGGGTTTAGGGTTTGGGGCTTAGGGGCTCCGACTCACACGCAGATGTGCACGAGGCTACAAGTTTGAAGGTTCAGACTATGCGACCCATCTCGGGACCACCAAACACTGCAGAGACACACCAACATAGATCAACATCAAGTATCTCAAACAGAAGTTTCAGAACAAGGCACGCAGACAGACTGCAAGGAGCCATGCATGCAGGATGCAGGAAGACACACATCTAGGTTTGACGTCTTAGGAGTTATGCGGTAGTAAGAACAAAAGTAAAACCCTTATCCTTATCCAACAGACAGGCTGGCAGCTAACCGAGCTTTGTCCTTGCGCAGCTTATCGAACAAGCAAAACCGCGAGTTGCACAGTCAGCCAAGAGACCCCTAGCGCCCGAAATCTGAAAACCTCAAGCCCGACCCCGGCAATCTGGCGCAACAACCAACGAAGCTAGCAGCTCTTCAGTTCCCAACCCTCCCTGCACCATTTTATAGGGTTTATTTCGGGGGCCTTTAGGGTTTCTTGAACCCTCTGTAGCCGCAGTGGGGCGTCCTGCAGCTCGGACTGCTGCAGCGCTTCCGAGGCGGCAGCAGAGAAGCGGAAGGCAATCCTTGGCCCAAAGGCCCCCACCACCCCCCCCCCCTCGGCTTCACCCTGCCTAGCTGCCGTGCCAAGGGATCTTCGGCGTAGTTCGACTTGCAAAAGAAACCCTGACAAAGGCTGCTAACCAGCCCAGCATCATAGAGGTCAGCCGCTTATAGGCAGCCTGGAGAGCAGTCCGGAATTCACCCGACAGTGGGGAAACCCTACACCTGCTATATCCGCGAACCCCCAAAGGCCTGCTTGCAATCTTTGTGCTCCAAATCTAGGGCCTCTCTGGGTGAGGGTTAATTATTCCAACCAAGGGGCTATTTAGGTATACAGGGACTACATAAGGTATACATAGAGGTTATATAGGGACTACATAAGGTATACATAGAGGTTATATAGGGACTACAGAAGGTATATATAGAGGTTATATAGGGGAACAAGATTCAGGGCCCCTTCTAGGGGCCTTCTACCCCTTCTTTCAAGCATGTCGAAGCTTTGGGAGGGGCGCTCCAGGCGCTTATGGCAACCCTAAAACCCTAAACCCTAAACCCTAAACCCTACACCCTAAACCCCGCCTGGACGTCGTCGAGCGTGTGGCCCCCGAGCTGGCTTGGAGGAAAGAGGGATCCGGAGAGCAGCCGGTGCCAGAAAGCGGCATCCGGGAACTCGAACCTCGTGTCCACCAGGATCGGTACCTCGGAGGGACCCTGAAAAAACCCTCCGCAAATCTTCCTGAACATGACCCTCTTCAAATATACAAGGGAAAACATATAAGGGAATATATACAAGGGAAGATGTAAAATGTCACAAAGGCCCCTTGGCCCAGGTACCATGTTGCAGTCGGGGAAGTTCAGGAGCCCGGTCACCAGGGCGCGGGCGATGAAGACGTCGGAAAGAACACCTGGCGTCAGCAGCACCACCTTCGTTGCTGAGTTCCTAAGCAGCCCCCCCCCCCCCCCCCAAAAAAAAAAAAAAGTGCACACTTTCAGTTCTACAGGGGGATTATGGAGTATCCCAAGAAGTGCGTAAAGTGTGCCCACGCAGCGGCTGAGCCACAATACAGCGGAGGTTCTGGTACAACTTCGGGGTGAACTGCCGTAGAACCTCATCGGGGGAATCCTCCTCGTCGTCCCCTGGCATGAGAACCTCCACGTTGGTGACCATCAGTGCCATCAACCTCCTCCGGACTAAGAAGGAGCAGGTTACAGCCTCCGGGCTGTCGGACTTCAGGACGACGATGGGCGTCTCGTCGCTGGCACGGGTGGTCTTTCGCTGCACGGCGTTCCTGAGCACCACCCGCATGAGCTTCAGATTGCACCTGATGGAAGGTCCCGAGGCTCCAGGCTAGGAGGCAGGTTTTAGGGTTTACTGGAGGGCTGAGGGCTTCGACTTGCGCTCACATAACAGGCAAGGCCTTCAGGACCCCGCCTCCCCTCCCCCCCGAGAAGGGCTGTCGCACAAGAGGATTGTCGGGCTACAGCAGGGGTCGCACCGGGTAGGCGGGAAGGGGGGAGGGGCGTACCAACTACGCCACTCCTTGTCGGGGATTCCGGGCCCTCCAGCCAATACCCGCTCTCCATCCTTCCAGCTTGGCTTGGGCTCTAGCCCAACACCTCCACGGCTTGTGGCCGTGCAAGCCATCCCCTCAGCATCATGAACACCCTCGCAGGGTCTCGAAATCACGACGCGTGCAGATGGCAGGAGCTGCGCGCGCGCGCGCGCGCTCGCTTAGAAGCTGCCTCAGCACTCATGCACCTCTCTAAAACCCTGATCCTGGAAAAAGAGCTGTCAAAATTCGATTCGCCACCATCCACCTGTCCAAAGTGGTGGCAACGACCTCGAGCTGCTCGGACTCGTGGGCGCGGCGATTCAAGTGAAGCTTCGGAAGCGCGTCGACATGCTGCAAGGCCGCGCGGATAGCCGACATTGGAATCCCACTGTTGGCCAGCAGGTTCTTCTCAGATTCTGTCCAGACTTGCTCCAGCTCCTCGAACATATTGGCCCGTGCTTCAAAGTCATCGCACTGGACGCAAACCATGTGGACCTTTGCCCGCATCGAACAAACAATTTCTCCTACACACCATGGCCTCTGTAGGATCTCACGCGTCAGCAGCAACACCAGATTTTGCGTTCGCTGCGAGACAGTGTCGAAAAGCGTGTCCAGGTTGAGCAGGTCGTCGGAATCCAGGAAAATCTGCAGTGCACCCTGGTCCAGCATACTGGTCTTGAACCACCTGGCCAGACATGCGGCACCACCTTTGTGGTGGCTGAGGAAGATGTGGTAGAACCTGCGCGACCGCAGCACCGCCAGCAGCTGGCCAAAACACGCAAAGGCCATGGCGATGGGAACCAAGGCCAGCTGCAGAAGCAGCCACAATTGCCTAGGATGGCCCCTAAAACCCTCTTAACGGCATTCCTAAATAGGACCCTCCTAAACCCTAAACCTAAAGCCTAAACCCTAAACCCCAACAAAGGGAAAATCATAAAAACGTCCCTTTAAGGGCCCACCATGTTGCAGCACCTGCAGGGTTCCGGAAACCAGGAGCATGGCCGAGGTCAGCAAGACGCAGGTGATGGAGATGAGGCCTTAGGGCTTAGGGTTTGGGGTTTGGGGTTTAGGGTTTAGGGTTTAGGGTTTTGGGTTGAGGGCTTAGGGCTTAGGGTTTAGGGTTTATAGGAGGCCTGCAGCATCGACGAAGTTTGCGTAGTAGTTCCTCCATGGGAAGAGCCTCACCTGGACTGCCATCCCACAGACCAGCACAAGGTTGAGCAGAAAGACCATGGCCCGGGGCGAGTTCACGAAAATCATGGGTATTGCTGCCACCATCAAGTTTCGCAGCAAGAAAATCACGGAGTAGCCATAGCACTCGGCTGAGAAGCGGTCGAATGCAAAGCGCCAAGCCAGCATGAACTGCACACCGCCGGGTCTCTGCAACCGCTGCGGGTACACCCTGACAGCCCACGCAACAGCAGACACGGGCCCAGCAATGAAGAACAGGGCGCTGGCAAAGGACGAGGCGACCATGGCCACATGTTCACCAGATTCCCAGCACAGCGTGCTTCGGTACGTGAGTACAGAGCTACTGCCATCAGGGTTGTCGGCACACTGCAAGGGCAACAATGCTAGCCGAGCCGAGGAGAGAAACAGAAGAAGCATCAAGGTCCCCACATTGGAGAACACCAGTGCCCAATTAATCTTGACCAGCAGAGCCCGCAGGTAGGAAGTCACGACCACCAACGTGATCATGGCCGGCTGAACCAGCACGGCAAAAAGGTACGACATGGACGCGCCACCGCTATAGACACACGACAGATCCAGAATGTCAGCACTGAGGCTAAACCACTTCAACAACTCAAGAACAGCCCAAAGCGAGTCCTGCTCAAGCTGCAAAGGCAGATCAGCCACGGCCCCCAGTGCTTGCATCATGTTGGCAAGGATTGTCACGTAGGCAGCCAGGGTCTCAGTGGTCTGACTGAAGACGGGCTGCTGCGTAATCCTCCTGGCCAGCCCGACACTGAGGATGAGGCAAACCATTCCCAACCCCATCAGTGCCAAATTGTTGTGAGCGCTGCATTCCGCACATTGCTGTCCATCCCACTTGTGGCCCCTCACGCAATGGCTGCAGGCAAGGCCGTCTTGCAGCAGAGGGCAGGTGCCGAGCTCCAAACCTCCCAGGCACTTCCCCACAGCGCACTTCACGAGCCGAGGCATGGCAACAAGGACAGGGGAATCGGAGGAATCGGAGGAATTGAGAAGAACCTCTCTTGCAAAGAAGCCCCGGGACTGGAATGGCACGCCCACACCTTCAGGGCACTCCAGCCCTTCGCCGCAGGCGCTGCACTCGGGGCCTCCCCTGTCTCCCTGAATGAGTGCTGTCTTCTCCGGGCACACGCACGCTGCCGCGTATGTGCTGGCCATCTCCGAGGTGGTGCTTCCCAAGATGAAGCTGGTGCAGTTGTGGCAGAGGGAGCTTCCTGCTGCACTCTGCCAAGTGCCTCTGGCACAGGGCAAGCACTCTTGGACCGCCCCGGTTGCTGCAAAGTAGCCAGGCCTGCAGGGCTTGCACTGGCCATCGGGTTCCTCCGGGTCTAGGAAGAACCCAAGGCCACAGCCTCTACAATCTCGCTCCCCAGGCAAGAGCGCCGTGCCCGGAAGGCATCGCACTTCCTGGAGTGGGGGACCTGTGCCGTACGTGAAGAAGGTCGTCTCATTGCGATCCCGCAGGTACCCTTCGGCCTTCAAGTCCACGACCATGCTTGCGGCTCCACGGCCTCGGGCTTCTGAGAGGTTGGCAGAGGTCTCCGACCTCAGGAGGAGTCGAAGCCCTTGCCCGCCCTGCTCCCACACGGAATCCAACACGTCAGATGCCAGCAGGGGCGGCGAGCCGGTAAACACCAGAAGCTCCATGAGATGGTCCCCAGTCACTGGTGCCATGTTCGTTGGCTCTGAGAACACCAGACGGAGCTGTGCTGTGTCAGGGAGATGTTGGAAGGCTAGAACTTGAGGACCCTTTGCGAAAACATGGACGATTACTTTGCCAAGGCCAGTAAACTGAGAGGCACAGAGGCCCGGCGCATCGCAAACATCGAAAACGACCTCCACGTCTCTGCGGGTGCCAACGGTGTCACAGAATCTCACAGACGGGGTGGCTGTGTTTTGGGAAACCAGAGTTGCACCCGTCTCAGGATGCACCAAGTGGAAAGTGAGGAGATCACCATCCACATCAGAAGCTCGCAACGGAACTTCGGCACAGGTCAGCTCCTGCATCGAGTGGTGAATGTCAGCTCCCCTCGATTGGAACGGTGAGGGTATGTGCTGAACTGGCCCAATGACGGAGTTCATGTATGGGAAGCGCTGCAGGAACTCGCCGTCCACACGGTCTCCCCGATCATTTAACATGAAACATGAGAAGGAAGCAGCATTGGTGCTCAGGAGCTGCCGGTACCTGCAAGACCTTTCATCATCGGTATCAAACGTATAGTGGAACAATAGGGCGCTGTCTCTGTCCACAAAGTCTGAGGCAAGGATGCGGCTGATCTCCGTCGGAATCAACTCGACGGAGTAGAGGCGGATGTCATCGAAGGCCGCGCGCATGAAATTGCTGGGCAGCACGGCCATCCCAGGGAGATGGGCGTCCCACGGCCCGGAGTCATACTCCGAGCCAACTTCCCAGGGCGTCAAGGGTGCCAGGCGGCCGTCTGTAGGCTGAAGGTCGTCACTATACGCCGACTCCAGGTCAGGGCAAGCCCCGAAGTCGCTGGAGTCGTACAGCAGCTGGCCGTTTCGGAAGAAGGTGACTCTTGCCTGCGCTGGGTGCGTCGCGTTGCCCCGGGAGATGCACCGGAAGGTCAAGGTCACGTGGTGAGGTTGGATACGGCCTTCGCGGACCTGCGCCACCGTCTCCCCGGTGTCCATCACCATATCCCCCGCTTCTCCACCCGGAATGAAAGCACGCCCGACGGCCAACTGGCCGCCGTTGCAGCTCTGATAGCACCGCAAAGAAAAATAGTAGCTGAAGCTCCAAAACCCAAACATGAAGACATTGCTGCCGCTCACCAAGTGTCTGGACAGAATATAGGAGTCATCAGTCACGGCATCTGGCTTAATCCAGAAAGCCACTGTGAACTCATCGGGAATGTGTTGTCCGGCCAAAAGCGCATAGCCTTCCTTGCCATCGGTCTTCAAAGCCATTGCTGTACCAGCCACCGGCGGACGGTTCTCCTTGACGTTGACATGGAGCGTGCCATTTGCCAGCCACCGGCTGCTGCCTGCAACGGCCTGCACCTCAAAGGCAACCACTTCAAAGCCTGGCGACCGAGGCCAGAAGAAGATGCGGCCGCACAGCTGGGTGGAACTCTGGTTGCTCGTCAGGTTGATGGCAAGCTCCCCGTTCTCCCCATCGGCCACCGTTTCGGGCTCAGCTCTCAGCAGCCCATGAGCCAGGGACTCCGAGAACACGGCCTTGCCGTGGTCGTAGCTCTGGCCATCCAGAGATGCGGCGCAGATGTCGAGGCTCTGCCAACCACTGCCGAGGATGGCCTCCAACACCGACGGGCTCCCGAGGCCTCAGGGAGGTTCATCTGACAAGTACCCTATTTTAAACAAACTTAAAACCCCAGCCAAACCCGACCCTTTTCCTTACTTAGAGCTTCTAACGACCCACGAACCTCCAAGTAGGACAAAAGCAAGGCAAGAATTCAAATGAACCCAAGGAGCCCTGGAAGGGAGACGGTATATACACGGGCGATCGGAAGCGGTTTCCGGAGCCCAGGGAAAAGCTGGAGAAAGCACTGCCTGCGGTGGACGGATCATCGAAGCTCCAGGCCTGCAGCTGCTCGAACTCAGGTTGGGAGCCTTGGAGACTGTGCAAGTTCATCTGGAACATGGTCTCCCGTATCTGCTCCTGGCTCCGGTTGGTGCTCCACCAGCGCAGCTCATCGAGAATCCCACCATAGGGGCGGTCGCCAGCCTGCCACTCGCCTCCGATCTCCTGCACCCGCGCCCCCAAAATCCACGGAAAAGGCTGCGCAGCGTCGGAGCTGATGGATCCCACAGCCGCGGAAGGCAGCGCATATCTCACAGCCAGCTCACCGTTGACATAGACGAGGCCCTCGAAGCCCTCCGCACCAAGGACCTCCTGGATGACCATGGCATAGTGGAACTTCTCACCCGGCGGGGACACAGGCTTCACTTCATCCACCGCAAAGCCGCTGTGCCAAATCTCGGAGCCCAAGTACTCCAGCGAGAGCAGCACTGCGCTGGACACGGTGGAGTGCCGGCTCAGCAAAACTCCACGGCGGTTGTATCGTACCAGCTCCTGACCCAACGCGTCGTGCAAGGAAAGTGGCTGAGCCCAGAACTCCAGCGTCAGCGGAGGGTGCGGCAGGTCTGCCAGAATTGTGACCTGGTCAGGCTTTCCAACTCAACATAAACGTGCCCTCCTTTGACTTTGCATGACCAAAAAACGGTAGCAGAAACATGAAATTGAAGGCTCCAAGTGGCAAAGTCATCTAGGCCATCGAAGCGCAAGGCCCAGCCCGCACCCCCAGTGCGCAACAGACCCTGGGCTGTTGGGAAGGCACAAGCCACACAAAGCAGGCGGCAGAGGTCCATGGCATCTTGGCAAGGGGGGGAACTCTCCCCTATAAGGTTCTTGCAGCTGCCGTGATGCTGCCCTAGGAACGTAGCTGATTCATGCTGATGACTTGTGGGCATCGGGGGGGGCCTGCAGTCAAGCCGGTGTTTGCTGCCACCTGTTGCTGTGCTGGGGCATACGTGGTTTGACAACTTCTGAGCCCATGTGCTGGCAGATCTCCGACCTCGCCCGTCGTACATGATACAATAGTGCAGCAATAAAACTGCACACTCGTGTACTAGTACACTCGTACAACTGTATAACAAGTTAACAGAATAGTAGTTTAACAATACTACAAAGATATACTAATACCATCATCTAATCTATCTTTATACTAGTATTGTTTTTATTATCATCTCATCTCCTTCGCCCGACCTCGGGTGGTGCCGGACGACCACGGATCTTTGGCCATGGCCGAGGGGCTCCTTTGCCTGCTTTCCCCTGCAACCCAACGCGGCAGGCGTCGTGTAAGAATCTCTGGGCATGTGGCGTTGAGGCAAGGCAATGTCCTAATCTTGAGGGTGCATCGCTTTTTGGGTGCTCTGCAGCTTCTGTCTTACCATGTTGTGGTGAGGCTTCGGCAGCTGCGGTCGCCAATGCGATCTTCGACTGTGCTCCCTTGGAAGCACCGATGGCGCTCGCCCAGTGACAAATCTGCCATTCAAGGCTCATGGCGTGAGGCATAAAAACTGCCGCGTTCCTCGTGGCGCAGGGGCCGTGTACCTTAAGGAACCGAACGTTACACTTTCTTGAGCTGAGAGAAATTACTGCTTTTTATTCTTGTGGCGGTACAGAATACAAGGTCATTCGTCTCCCTACATCAATAGTCTGCATCAAACCCTCGATTGCCACAAAACACGTGCAGGTGGAACCACCGCAAGTCTTCCCCGCAGCCCCAGCTGCTTAGAACTAGACGGGAAACTGGGGTCTGGAGGGGGTTTGAGTCTTGAGCACCATTTCCACTAGAGTTGCGGTGAGACGTCCGAAACTGTTCGAGGTTCAGCCGTTGAAGGTCAAAGGCTTCCAAAGCCCTAAACCCTAACCCTAAACCCTACACCCAAAACCCAAAACCCAAAACCCTAAACCCTAAACCCCCGTTCCTGACTTGATGAGTGCAAGGGTCTCCCAGCTGAACCTTTCACCCCGCGGAGCTCCACACGGCTGGTGGAGGAGCCGCTTGCAGTGAACAGGAGCATCTTGGGTGCAGACTTGGCTCCAGGGGTTCATGCTCTTCGGGCTCACAACCGGTAGGTACGGCTTCCGAGGCAAGCTGCCCTACCCCGCACTAGCCTATGTCCAAGAACCAATAGACCCGACATACCGTTCTTCCACCTCGTGCTGGCGGCTTGGGATGATCCGGCTGCGGGCTCTATTTCGGGCTCACGTTGCTTCACGTTGTTTCACTTTGTTTGATCGCTTGGCAGGTCCGAGGGGGATTCAGGAGCCCTTCTGCAGCGGTGGAATCCTCGGAGCTCTCTGTTGAGGAGCGGCTGATTAGATCGGGGAACTGGGGCGACTTTTCCGCAATTCCTTTGATTGCTTAGAAGTTGCATCCGGACATTGCAATGGGTCATCATGGTTGTTCTGAATGAGTGTCCTCTTTATAGGGAATTCTAATTGCCACCCTGACTCAACCCTCATGCTTCTCCGAGGCAGGGAGTGTGAAAAGGTCGATCCAGTTGCCGAGTTCCCCGATCCTCCGTGCACGTCCTCGCGGAGCTACACAAGGGGAGTCCCTTTGCAAGCTGTCGATGATGCAGGTTCGTGCCTCACGGCGGAGTGGGAAGACCCACCCCTGGGCCCTAGGGGTTTGTGACTCTGGTGACATGTTGGTGACACGTGCGGCATGTTCCGCGACGGCTCTTCAAGTAAACTGGGGCTTCTTCTGTCACGGGGGGAAGGTCGAGATGTTCTGATTATCTGATTGCAATCCTACAGGGGACCCCTGCGGATAGAGTCAATGCTGGAGGACGGTTGCGAGTTTCTGTTCTCGTCCAAGTTGTGAAACGTGATGCTGAAACCATGACCCTGCCGCGGCACCTGAGGCACCTTCCTAGAAATTTTGGGGGGTCAGGACTCCGATGCAGGGCTTCTTGACCCGGCCAATTGTTGGATGCCAGGGGCGGCGACAACCTGCGAAAACGCTGGAGGCCGTACCGATCCAACTGATGGTTTAGGGTTTTGGGTACCCTGGTGGTACCTTGGCAGAGCCTTGCATATCCCCATTCGGAGGCTTGGCCGCTGCAGTGACCTCTTGGAGGACTCACTTCACGTATGGCACTTCGCCCTCGGCACCCGAGGCACAGGACCAAGGCTTTCAGGGAGATTTTCAGCGGGTACCCCCACACAGGCGCCTACAAAGAGAGAAGAGGGTATCTGAGGCCTGTATCAAGCTCGTAAGGGGGAAGCAGCCCACCGTAACAGCTAAGCTGAAAGCCAAAAAACTGAACCGATGCGAACCTGAGGCCCTGGCTCCTTGCAGTTTCCTGAGCGCCATCGATCAGCATTATCACCGATCAAGCTGCGCCAGCTCACTGCGGCGTGCAACATCGTGAAGCATGAGAGGGCTTGCCCTCGAAGGCGCCAAAACCCCCAAGCATACACCTCAACGCCCACATATCTCCACCACTTCAGAAGTCGTAAAAGCCCCAAGCTCTACAAGGCCGAGACGATCTACTGCCAAGAAACCTTCCCTATGCCCCACCAGGTTAAATTGCAAACGCCCCAGACCTTAACTTCGTCCTAGAAGCCCGCCGAAGTAGGCAGAGAAGGGCGCGAGGACGAGACTCAGCGTGGCGCTCCTCGTACGGCAGGTTGGTTTTGCAACTTTGGATGTTTTGTTCTGCCTCCCGCCCAGCTGCACAGTCACATCCACTAGAGTTCTGCTCAAAGTGCCTAACATTTTCTTTGGACAGGCCCCTAGCTTGTTCATGGTCTTGACGACCGCCAGCTTTCTGAGGACTTGGCACAACTTGCACGATTGCATAGGAGACGAAGAGGCCGCCCGCCTGTGCAAAGGCAGAGCACAAGGATTTCTCTGCGTAAACGGCGACCACCGGGTTGCAAAAGTCGGGTTTGTTGGTTGCAGATCACTCCCCGAACCACTCCCCGAACTGAGAGGCATGCATCTGCCACCAGCTGCATGCCATTGCCGTTGAAACACCTGCCCTGCGCCGCCAGAAGCGAAAGCACATGCTTGCTTCCTCGTGCTTCTGCATTACCAGGTGGCGGACAAGCTCGAGCTCTGCCATGAACCCCTGTGTGCCGGCACCGACCTCAGGTCCAAGCACCAGGGATCAAAGGCCTTGAATCGACTTCGCCCCTGCGAGGTCACGGGCTTGGAAGGAAGGTGCGTCCTAGAATGGAAACCATGGCACACGAGGACACGTATGTGGGGATGGTTCTGAATGAGGCAACTCCCAGGTCCACAAGAGAATCAGAGCCTAGGTCAAAACAAACCGTTTAACTTAAAGGCTTCACATGTGAAATTGTAGAATATACTGTAATATAGTATAGTACGGAATGTGAAATTTATCAAATATCATACATACTGTATACTGTATAATGATGTATACTACGTGTCTCAGGCTCAGCCAGGCACCACGAGACCAAATGCCAACCACTTCACGAGGCTGGAGAAAACGTTGGTCGCCGCTTTGAACACGACGGCATCTGGCCTGAAACACAGCACACATGTGACGAAGAAGATGTCAAGATCCTCTGTGATGAAACAGTACTCGGTGATGAAACAACTCCTTCATTTGTGCCTGCCCTACGCATTCCTATGTGCTATGCATTCTGAGGCATCAAACCATTACATCATCTGTGTCAGGGCCCGACAGTGTGAAGATGGTGATGATGTCCACCAGGTCTAGGAAGATGCCCAGGGCGGCCTTGAATGGCATCCGAGCCCATGCATGCCCAAGCTTTGCTACCCAAGTAGAGCCGAGGCAGGGCCGAGGCAGGCACTAAGATGTAGGACCACGCAGTCACGCGAGTCACCATCTGGTTGGTCTTGCAGACCTGCAACCCCAAGTGCCCCAAGTGCCCCAAGTGCCCCAAGTCCTGCGCAGTAAAGCTTTTCGAATTCTGGAGAATCACAAACACCCAAGTGAAAGAGGGCCCCGGCTGAGGTCGAGCAGGTCCGCGAGATGTCTGCAAAATCGCGGCACCAATTGGTGTCGCCACCTCGGGGGAAAGTTCGTTTTGGTGGGGGGGGTGGGGTAGTGGGCGATCCAAGACTCGCGGTGCCTTTCTCTGGTCCACTTCGTTCTCCGTTCATCCCTTTCCTTGCTTATCGTTCTTTTCCATCTGTTCGTTGCGTGATTCACTTTAGTGTTGTGTTTTATCGCTTTCTTTTCATGTGCGCATATCCTTCTCTACTTGTTCTTTCTCTAATGCAATGTCTCATCTACTTCTTGCTGTCTGTGTTTATGTCATTCTGTACACTTGTCTCTCTGATCTATGTCATCTACGTATTGAGTTGCGTTTGCGTTGCGTTTGTTCAAGCGTTCTTTGTTTCCTTAGCTGTTGATTCACCTGTTGATCGGGTTACGCGATTGGCACGGGCTGGCGGCCTCCCTTCCCCGGTCCCCCATCCTCCCCCCGCCTTCCCCCCACAAAGCATGTCTGCTTCATGATCTGAGGGAGTCTAGGGTTTAGGGTTGAGGGTTTAGGGTTAGGGTTTGTTTAAGGTTTAGTATAATTAAACACCTCACGACTGCCGCAGTAGGCGCGCGACAGAAGGTCAGGCCGTGCTGGCAGTACAGTCCGACAATGGGTGAGCGTGAACCTCGGCCGCCAAAGCTGCATCAGGCCATGCTCTTTTAAGACGCATCAACATCTAGAAAGGCTAATTTCAGACCCCTTTTGAACCTTGAACTTTGAACCTGGAACCTTGAACTAACCTTGAACCTTGAACCTTGAACCTTGAACCTTGAACCGCCGTTCTGAGGCTCACACAGAAGTAGCCCGGTGGGCAGCATCGATCCCAGCCTCCGCCAGCGGGATCTCATCGACCAAGCTACTAGGACCCTCCGTTCAGGCCGAGAATGTCCCAGTCCAGATTGCTTGCTATTTGGCTGTTGCATGTTGTTTCTGAACCACCGGATATTCTACACAAACCCCGACTCCCTGCATCCCTCTAACCAGGAGACTGAGGCTAAGCTGCGGGCACTTGTCGGAGTCCTGTCCATTAATGGCGCAGCCGTCCAGGGTACTTCCTGGAGCCAGGAATGCTGAGCTGGCACCGAGCAAAAACCGCAAATCGCAAACACACGTGTGAGTTTCGAGGCGCGTTTCTAGGTGGCTGCGCCTCTCCCAGCCGCCTACCTACATCTGAACCCGACAACAGAAACTCTGAAAACAAGACATCAATCGGGAACTCTCAAACCCGATCAAGCCGTCGAAAAACAAGCAACACGAAAAGAAAGTCTCAACGACCAGCAGCCAACCCGAAACAACGACAAGCACAACTGCAAGCACCACCACTCACCAACCTCCCTCACCAACCCTCCAAGGATCCCTTTCCCCCCATCCCCCGTCCACTTCTCCCCTCTCTCCCCCACCCCCCCAACAAAAAACCGAGCGACGGATGCACGGCAAGTTGTCGGAACGCAGTTCACCACGGTAGTTCTCAGTCCTCAGCATCAATGTGGGGTTTTGGGGCTTTTGACAGCTTCTCACATGTCACCTACATGTCACAAGGATGCAGCTACACCTAAACCCTGCCTAAACCCATGGGAAGATGGGAAGGCAGACGTCCAAAGGACACGTTGCATCTTGAACGACCGCCGGTGCGTTGCTAAGAGGGCTGAGAATAAACAACAAAAAAAGAGATGTAGAGAGAAGGAGAAACAGAGAGAGAGAGAGAGAGAGATACAGAGAAAAGGAAGAGAGAGAGAGAGAGAGAGAGAGAGAGAGGATAGAAAAACAAAAAGAGAGAGAAAGAGAGAGGTGGAGACAGAGCGGGTTGCTTCACGCAAGGAGGGCATAGACATTCTGAAGGTTTCGTACGGATTTGACAGGACTCGGGGCACTCGAACTAGAGGCTTTTGCACAAAACGCTTCAGCCACCCTGTCACAGCACCACTCCAGATGTGGCCAGGTCGAAGCACTGGGAAGTTCAAGCAATCCGGCAAGAATGAAGATAACAAGGCCGCATCCTTCACAGAACTGAAGTAAGGTTTATATTCCTTGTATCCCCCTAAGGGATACCCAATACATACACTCACCAATACAAAAAGGGACCTTATATACAATCCAATAACAGTAATATGAACCCTGTTTCAACTCATCCGCACTATGCCCGCGGCATCTGGTCCATGAACTGCTCAAACACGAACGCGAAGGTGAACGCCGTGATTGCTGTCGCCAGGCACATTCCTGGCGCATGTGTTCTCTGACCATCTGGACCAGCAGCAGATTCAATAACAAGCGAGACTAGAGGAAGTCTGAAATCCGGTTCAGGCACGACAAGTGCCAAAACTCATGAACCTCAAGAATGAACTGAAACCCTGATCCGGACCGAAGCCCCCCCCAAAAACCAAAAAAAATTTCTTCTGCCGTCACGCGCCTGTCAGGAAGATTTGAATTACAGCTCTGGTGCTGCAGCGCTTCGCCATTGTTGCGGCGCAGCTTGGCCACAAAGCCTGCCAGGAGACAGATCTTGTTGGAGTTTAGAGTTTAGGGTTTAGGGGCTTAGGGGTTTAGGGGTTTAGGGGCTTAGGGGTTTAGGGGTTTGGGGGTTTAGGGGTTTAGGGGGTTTAGGGTTTAAGGTATGCAGCCTTGCATGGGTCACTTCGTCACCTGAATAACTGCAACAAATGCCAACAGTTGTGATTACCATGTTTTTGTCATCAGGAAGTGTTAGACATTTCTGCGAATATCACTATCAGTACTGTTATCAGTATGTATCCGTATTCCCGGCACCCCAAGCATTCTCAGCACTCTCAGCGTTGGCAGAACTGTCAGGCTCTACCACAAATACTAAATGACCAGCACTACATTCTCAATATCGTCAGGATTATCAGCACTTGAATTATCGGAACTTCTCAAGACTAGCAATATATTCATTCAGCACATAAGCTTTCTCAATTGGCTGAATACTACCAGTTCTCCGTCTTATCAGCACTCTTCGTGTGCTCAGCATTTTTAATCTCGTTAAAGATTTTTACGGTCTCCCGTCGTATTCGTTCCTGTACGTTTGTCTTCTATCCACAAAGTTGCCGTAAAATATAATATGGTATAGTAAAATAATATATAATATCATATAATGCAATATAATATAATATAATATAATATAATATAATATAATATAATATAATATAATATAATATAATATAATATAATATAATATAATATAATATAATATAATATAATAAATATTCACCAGTCCGCAGCTGTGCCTGGAGGCCGCCGCTTGAGAGACCGGCCCCTACCACCTACGAACTACCTACTTGAGCCTCCTCGAGCCACGGCAAGAACAGCAAGCCCTGATGTGCGTGTCCTGTTTAATAGGGTTTAGGGGTTTAGGGGTTGAGGGGATCGCCCCATGAAGCAATGCATTAATGTAATTCACTGGCACAATGACTCGTCAGCAATCAAGGGTGGCAGCCTCCAAGCTAGATCATTGCCCTTGGCCAGTGTCGTCCTTGCCTCCTGTCTTTTACCACGAATGCAACGTAAGCCTAGCTTCCATTGCAGAAGCGTGTTGTCACGGGATAGCATGGCAAGACCTTACTACACGAGCTGCTGCTGTCCTCGCAGCCAGAAAACGCCTCATGATGAGACCGGCTCACTTGAACCCTTGCTTCATCGCTTGCTCCATATCATGAGCCATGGAATCTCTCATCTGCTGTATCCTCTGCTGCTGGCCAAAAAAAACGGCTTCCACGTTGGGAAACACACATGGCCAGGCTTCGCCTCACACTTGGTGTACTTGACTTTCACCACTGGCACCAAGGCGACGAGGGCTGGAATCACTCGTGCCATCAGAAGGCGAAGAAGGGATCTCAGGGGATGCTTCACATAAACTCACACTTGAGTTGAACGCATCCGATGGTCCAAAGGTATGGGATTTTTTTTTCCGCCGCCAGGAAGGTCTCGTGGGCCTAAGGCCGCAGCGGCGGAAGGCCGGGTCCAGCGCAGTCAGCCAGCGCCAAGACGGCCTCCAGAGCAGGCGCCGCGCCAAAGCAGGCGGGCTGCAGTCCCGCCGCGGTTGGGCCCAAGGCAGTCTCGGCCACGGCCACTTGCACCGCGACGGACAACAACCCCACCACCGACGCGCCCAGCCGCTCACCGCGCTGCGGCGCACAGCATGCAGCGCGGGCGCGGCAGCCCCGCAACCGCGTCAAGGTCCGCAGGAAGTCGCGGGCCTGGTCGTTCCAGCGCCCGCCAACCTCATTGCCGAGGACTAGCAAGCGCTGGGGCCCGGGCCCGCCCAGCTCGGGGTACGCGGCTTGCTTCCGGCGCTCGGCATGGCGCAGCGAGGCTCCGTCAGATGTGGCTGCGCGGGGGTGCGGTTCTCCCTCGTATCTTGACACCCTAACCTCTGTCTCTAGGAGTTAATCCCTTGGGAACCGATGGACAGGACACATCCTATCTTGACACACCATTAGTACCATCACCAGGTTGTGTTCACCATTCACGTTCTCCAGCCACAAGACCCTAACTCTCATATCTTGGTCTAACCGTTCACACCCTTGGAATCGCATGCCAGGTTAACCGCTCTTTGAATCACCCATACAATCATCACCATGTTCTCTGGGCCAGTTCATAGACTCATCCATAAGGACGTAACTACTGACTCACCTTCACTCTCAGACCTTAATATCTTCACTCTTGGTCTAACCGTTCTATCACCAGTATCTTGACACCCTAACCTCTGTCTCTAGGAGTTATTCATGAGTGCTTATGTTCACTGGTCTTGACATTGAGGCCCCACCATCAGTGAACTCTCTTGACAAGGAACCCAACCGCCTGTCTAACCTTCCGGAATCTCCTAAAAGCCTACATTATAATTACAATGCAGTGTGAACAAAGCGTGAATTACAATGTTTGTGGGCTTCTACAGGAGTTCACGGATAGTGCAGGAAAAGTCTTGAGTCTTCATGGATGGTTTTTGAAAAAAAAAAAAAAAAAAAAAAAAAGGAAACGTAAAGGCAGGCCACGCGAGCCCTGGTCGCCTGTTGCTGCGCCCATAGCCAGGTAGGCGACGTGCAGGCGCCTTGCTGGCGCGTCAATGCAGGTAGTAAGCCTGCCCCTGGCGGCGTAGTCTGGCGCAGTGGGACAGCAGCCTTGCAAACGGAAAAGAGGCGCGAAAAAAAAAAATCAGTGGCTGGCCAATACGACGGCGCCTGGGGTCGCAGCAGACGATCGCCGAGGACTCGACTTCGTCATAGACGGCGCTGCCGCGCGTGGCGAGGCTTTGTGCTGCGACGCAACCGGGTGTCGCCCGTGCGACGCGATGGCAAGCCCCAAGCTGGAGCGCCTGAGAAGGATGGGGTGGCGGCGGAGCGCCGCAAGCTAGCGCAGTACCCCGAGCTCACCCGCGGGGGCCCGCATCGCTTATTATGCGTTCTGGCTGCTGAAATCGGGGGGCGCTGGAACGACGAGTCCCAGCGTCTCGTGCAGTGCCTCAAAGGCTGTCTGTCCTACGAGCGAGCGCCGCTCGCAAAGGCTCTGATGGCACGGGGGCACCACAGCAAGGACTGCGCTGCTACTGCCCGCCGAAGCAAAGAGCGGACGTACCCTGAGCTGGTCCACGGTCCGGGCCGCGCTGGACGGGCGACCTGATGCCGTGGTAGTATCGCTCGATGGGCGCAACGCCTACGACAATTTCTCGCGAGCAGCCTTCCTCAGCAAGCTGCCAAACTCGGCATGACGCGGGCGCTCGGTAGGCGTGGGCGTGTGGCAGGGAACCCGGCCCACGCATGAGCGTGGCATGGTAGTGTTGGGTTCCGGTTCCCCCGTCGGGCATCCCGACTTCGTGCTGTGGAACAAAAAGGGGGATCCGCTGGCTCATAATGCGACAGTGTCTGGGGAGGACAACAGCCTGAGTCGCCCTCATGGCAGCTTGTCGGGATGCCGGGGTAACAATGGAGAACACCTGGGAAGCACTCCCCGATCATGACAGCCTGATTTCCCCCCTGATCGCATACATGTATTTTGTTGCCCACGCCTTGCACATTTGGACTATGTGATACTATGTGGTCCACCCGAACGAGATGGAGTGGGCGCCGGTACGGGTTTCTTTTTTTTGCATGCCAATTTTCCTCGCAGCAGGTGGGGCTGCTACGGAGCGGCCGCGGGCGTCGCCTCAAGCGCGCAGCGGCAAGCGGCCCGTGGCCACTGGGTACATGTGGCGAGCGTCCGCCAAACAGGTCAGCCAGCGGCGGCTCCGCCCCGTCACACTCATCCGCCCTGTCCAGCGGCAGCTCCAGGAGTGTCAGGGCGAGAGCCCGCTGCGCTGCGACAGCCAACATATCTGTCCAGCGGTGGCCTGCCGCCTGCCGAGCCGCGGCCCGGAGCCACGGCAGCGCAGTCGGAGGAAATCCGCCATTTCGGCACCAAAGCGCCCGCCCACCTCGACCGCGAGCACGACCAGGCGACACCTTGGCGGCCAACGGAGGGTACGTGGCTTGGCGTTTCCGGCGTGCTGCGTCCGCCGCCGCTTTGCCCGGCACACGGTCCGCGCCCGCCCGCGCGGCACCGTCCCGGCCAACGGGGCTGACAAAGGTGGTGTCGACCGTTGCCTGGGCTCCCTGCCATAACGGCAGTCCGTTCGCCTGTGATCCCCTAAGGCGTCCAGGGTCCCACCACAGCGACAACGTCGGCGTATGGGGCAAGGGAGGCGCAGCCGCATGCCGTTGGAGGGCATGCGGAATTCCGGGGCGGTAGGGAGCACGGTGAGGGCGCGGGAGCCGCCAACGCTTCGTTTTTTTTTCGCTTTCGCCCGTTCGGGTCCACGTGAAACATTACAAGCGTCAGACTGTTCCTGCTGCTCGTGGACCACGGTCCTATAAGGACATGGGGAATGGGGGCGTGCTTGAGTGTTGGCACGATTCGGTCTATACATTCGTAAAGCTTTGTACGTACTGGCTTGCAGCGGGCGGCCAATTTGCTGTTTCAGCAATATCAGTCCACGTATTCACCGCTGGAAAATTACAGGCTGCAAAACTGCGGAGTCGATCATCCCACTTCGTTAGCGGGCGACCGGGTCGACGATGTAGTTGTAAAGCAAAATTTGTTTGCCAGTTGCTTTCTGGACAACAGCCGCGGCCCAATTGGGAATTCGCAACATTTGGAAAGCGAAGTTGTACTGACGTCGTGCAAGCTGGCGAGACCAGGTGTCCACAGGGTGTATGTGTAACGCTGCAGTCAGTCTGTGTTTCATCCGACTCATAGTGTTGTGCCAATCTTCGTTTGCAACTCGCACCCAGCCAACCACAGAGCGAAGCATTCGTCGTTGCAATGCATCCAGTGTATGAATTTGTGACAGAGTCAACAGCCGCCAACGCCCGCCTGGGATAACAGCAGCGCGCACGAAGCCTGGTCAAGGTCCGAAGAGAGGCTGTCGCACGCTGCGGCATCCAGGCAGGCCGTGGCCGCCCTTTGCCACCCA